CTATATGTTGATTATTATAAATGTCTATATTATTAGTAAATGTCATTAGTTTTCCTGCTAGTGGTGACTTCTGAAGAGGATGGTCTGGGAAAGATACAGGAATAGTGTAGGAAGGTGGTTTCCTTTCCCTTGCTACATGTTTTCTTTTTATGTTTTGAAATTTTATTCCATGTTCAAAAATAATATAAAAACCTTTAAGAATGAATTAAATATAGTATTACATCTAGATTTACAGGTCTAGAACTTTCATTTTTAAAGGAAAAGCAAAATTCACTAAACTTCTCTTAGAATATTATATATGAAAGGCATATTAAATACATGTTAAAATTGAGGGATAAGTCAGGCATGGTGGTGCACACCAGTAATCTTAGTAGCTTGGAAGGCCGAGGCAGGAAGATTGTAAATTCAAAGCCAGCCTCAGCAATTTAGTGAGGCCCTAGGCAACTTAGTGAGACCCTGTCTCAAAATTAAACATTTTTAAAAAAGGGCTGGGGATGTGACTCAATGGTTAAGTGTCCCTGGGTTCAATCCCTGGTACCTCAACAATAAAATTTGTGGGATAGGTTTTGAAAACTTATTTATTTGCTAATGAGAATGAGCATTCCATAGAAACATTGCCTTTAATCTTGAACATCCCATGGATCCTGAAGTTGTCAGTGAGAATGTATACAGTTGAGTATGAATCTTTTTGTGTGTGATAGAGCTGCCCATTCATGTAGATGAACTCATTTGTTCTCTACTGAAAAATATCAAGTTTCCAATGCAAATTAAATATTTTTCTTTCAAAATTAGCTGGGAGTGATGGTTTATTCTTTTTGTAATTGTTTTTTTAAAAATAAATGACAGCAGAATGCATTACAATTCTTATTACATATATACAGCATAATTTTTCATATCTCTGATTGTATATAAAGTATACCAATTGACACCAATTCGTGTACTTTGGGTGATGATGTCTATCATATTCTACCATCCTTGCTAATTCTTGTAGTCCTAGCTACAAGGGAGATTGAGGCAGGAAAATTTCTTGGGCCCAGGAGCTCAAGACTAGTATGCTCTACATAGTGAGACCTTACCTCACAAACACAACCAAAAACAGAAAAGCACTTTTTCTTTTACCCCACCTCCCAGGATGATGCTCCTGAGTTGGAAGAAGGATTTATCATCATCATCACTGAGGTAAACCTGGTGAACTCTGACTTCTCTGCAGAGCAGCCAAGTGTACAGAGACCAGGAATGGAAACAGCTGAGATAACGACTGAGGAAAATGATGATCCCAGAGGAATTTTTATATTTCATGTTACTAGGGTGAGTTGAATTTCATATATTTATAATAATGTAGAAGCTCATCCCTGATGATTTGTTCAGTGTTTTTGTATTTTCTGCAAAACAATTGGCTTTGCTTGTAGGTATTTTAAAATAGATGAACAGCCAAATTTGTCTTTCAAATTAATTCTTAGTTCTCTTTGACCAGCTCAAAGGATTCATCAAGTTTATTTTTTTGTGAAATTTCAGAGTAAAAGTTCTAAAGACCTGTCATGCCTACTTCCGTTCTATTAACTTATAATTTGAAGAGTGAAGTATGAGATATAAGTGGAAGCAAAAAAGTTACAAGATGATGATTTAGGATAGTTGCCCCTTTTGTCTTACTTTTCAACATGTGTTCTTTATTCAAGGATGTTGGTGGAGTTATTACTGCTCATGAGGTGCCTCCACCCTTGAACGTTCTTCAGGTTCCTGTAGTCCGGCTGGCTGGAAGTTTCGAGACAGTAAATGTTTATTGGAAAGCAATACCAGGCACTGCTGGCCTGGAAGACTTTAATCCATCTCAAGGGATTCTTGAATTTGCAGATGGGCAAGTAAGTTTGTCATGAACATGTTAGTATTTTTTGATTCTTCTTCAAGAATTTTATAGGTATCTACCAAATGAGCATGCATTAATGATTGCCAGTTGTATTATAACTCTGAATGTTTCTGTGTCAAGTCAAACACAGATATTATTAATAAATGTGGGCCTAGGAAGAGAAATTTAAGAAGCAAGAATTACACCCCTTTTTTTAATACTGGGGATTGAACTCAGGGGCATTTGGCCATTGTGCCATACCTCCAGCTCTATTTTGTATTTTTTTTTTAGAGACAGGGTCTCACTGACTTGCTTAGTGCCTCCCTAAGTTGCTGAGGCTGGCTTTGAACTCATGATCCTCCTGTCTCAGCCTCCTGAACCACTGGGATTATAGGCACTGTGCCTAGCTCACCCTTTTTTGAATTTCCCCACCTGATTCCAATTAAAAACCAAAAATTCTAAAACAGGATAATGATTGACTTAGAGGTGCCTGCAGTATATAAAAACCTACGTGATGAACTTGACTGTATTTATGATCACAAATGCTTTTATTCTATTTCTTATTTTTAATAAAGGTTAAGGACAATCTTTTCACAATATCTTTTATTTTATTTTTATGTGGTGCTGAGGATTGAACCCATATCTCATGCATGCTAGGCAAGCACTGTACCACTGAGCCACAACCTCACCTCCTCTATTTATTTCTTAATGTTTATAAGTGCATATTTTAATTTAGAATTTCCAATAAAAATTTTAAATATTAAATTAATGTCCCAAACTTCCTTTATTTTATTAAAACCTGAAAAATTAATGACATTCTAGACTTAGGTCTACCAAGCTTAAAAATTACAAAATATTCCCAAAGTATTGTAAATTTTCTAAATTGGGTGTTTTGTAATATATAAGAATGAGATATCTTTATAATATTTTCCATGAAAAAGTGGAAAAGGCATATGCACAACCATGAAAATATTAGTAACTTCATATAGCAGAATTTATAGGTAGCTTTATTCTTGCCTTGACAAATCTGCATAGTATTCATAAACTTATTGGTTGCCCCTAGGGGCTCAGGAAATTCTGTTAAAAAATAAGCATGCAAATCTACATTTTTCTACACATAGAGACCTATTATAGTTAATGTTTTTGAAATCGTGAGTTTTTGTTTTCTATTATGAGATTTAGAACTTTGCATCATTTCCTATTAACATGGAGGAGGAAATGTTAAGTACATGAGATTTTTACATTAAAAGCAGAAACTAAAAATTGATTTTTCACCAAAGCAACCTTCCAACTTTAGTTACGTCATCAGTAATAATTCTGAGCACATAGTTGAAGTCTCATCATTTTCCAACATCCTTAGTATCATCCTGATCCTTTAAGTCCACATCAATATGGAAGACAGTCTATATCCTGCAGTACCAATTTGAGGTGCACACATTTTAATGCGCTTCCATTTTAGCATTTGATTTTGTTTAAGCTTTCGTTTATCTGAGTGTGACATCCAGATTTCTTGCTTCTCCTTGTTGTTAAATTAAAGGTTTTAGGTAGAAAACTTCATTTTCTGGTAAAGATCTATATCAAAGTATTGGAATTTACCTGTGGCATACAAAAAGAGACTTTAAATATTGAATATATACCTAGTATAGGTTTATGACCACTAGGGAAATCACAAGGTGAACCAAGTTTATTTATAAGTTTATAAAACTTTTAACATAAACTCAGAGAAATGAATTAAATCCTGATTTTTAAAAAATCTTTAAAAAAACCCAAAAATCAAATTTGGCCTTTCTTTCTGCTTTTCTTTTCCCCTACATTAAAAATATATATGTATTTGAAATCAATAGAATTTATATGAATTGCAGAAGTCAATGATAATTTTTATTCTTTCATTTGCTTTCATATAATAAAACAAAGCACACTAGGTTTTATGTTTGTACAATAGTTGTTAGAGCATTCATAGCACTTATAATATTTTTTCAAGATTAAGAAGTTCTTGTTTCTTTCTATCTGTAAATATACTATATTTTATTACATTTATAATGTTTTATCTTAAAAATAGCAGACTTCGTAAATTTCTGACTTTCAACTACTATAAATATCATGATTTTAAAAGTATTACAAATCTAACAGGCAAAATTATTACTTCTTTCTTTTGTGTCATGTTTCTAAGTTTCTATTGAAATATATATAATGAAAAATTATTGCAATATTTTCTTCCCCTCCTCTCCCTCTCTCCCTTCCTATCTCTATTTTTCTCTTCCTCTCTCGTTTTCTTCCTTTTTTGGTAGGTTACTGCAGTGATACAAATCACCATAATTGATGATGCTGAGGTTGAACTCATGGAGATGTTCAATATTTCCTTAATCCATGTGGCTGGAGGTGGCAGACTGGGGGATGATGTTGTGGTAACTGTGATTATTCCACAGAATGATTCTCCACTTGGAGTATTTGGATTTGAAAAACAGACTGTAAGTTAAATATATCAGGGAAGTGTGAAATTCTCATATAGTTTTAAGTAGAAAAGTGTCTGTTACTTTTGTTTTGAAATTCTTCATTACTCTTCCTTTACAAATCTCTCTTCAATGATCTTTTGAGTTTGCTCTTAATTTAGGGGCCAATCCTCCAACATATACATACAGCTTGATATAATGTGGGCTCCTAACACCAGACAATTACAGAGGGAATGCGATTTCCTATTTATTGAGTATACTAGACCAAGAAGTACTTTTTGTCCATACCTTTTATTTTCTGTCTATTCTACAGATCACCATCCTGGCCACATAACAGGACTGTCATGGCCTGAATGTGGTATCCCAGGATGGGTTTAGTTGATGAGGGAAATTTCCCTCAGTTCTGGTATGCTGTCATGTTCTTCCCTCTCACTTCTCACTTCTCACTTGGCTGTTTTCTTCCAAGACCTGAAAGAGGGAGTTCACTTATTATTGGTTCATCTGCTGAGGGAGGGAAAAAAGCTTCTTATGATTGATTAATCATAAGAATGAAATATTTGTGTGGCGTAGCTTGGCAACTAATATTAAAGTATCACCACATCTGAAAGTACTATAACTCTATCATAATTATTATTACATGATCTCTGGGCCATAATTATTATGATTTTATCTTTTAAAGGAAATTCCCAGATGAAATATTCATAAAGATCCTTAAATAGTCCCCATATACTTAGCAACTTTTCTGATTACATATGTCATCACTCCCTTTATTTAATCATTTATATTTGATCATTGTGGATAATTTTCAGTGATTAAACTGCTTGACTGCCCCTTGTCTTTACTGTCCTGCGCATGAAAGGCTAGACCTACAACTTATCTCTCAGAGCTGGGCTTTTCATACGCTCCAGAATTAAAATAGAGCTTAATAATTACCTAATGATTTGGTCAATGAAATTTCAATTTCATTAGGAAATAGGAACTATAAAAGGAACAGAGCACAATTTTGCTGTGGCCCCATGAAACTCTCTTTCTTCCTTGGCAAAAAACTGCACAAGTGTTTCCAAGGAGTGATGGATTGGCAAAAGAATAGCTGTGATTATCTCTCAGACAGCATTAAAAGTCTGAAAAAAATAAAACAAATTTAAAGAGGAGAGTAAAATTTTCCATAATATTAGTATCCTAAGAGAGACAGCATTAATATTTTGTGTATTTTCAAACACATGGTATTCTTTGCATATTTTAATATGTATGAATAAGTAACTTAATTTTTTATAAAATTCCTCTATTAGCTTATGAGCTTAGGTTTAAAATTTCAGGTTTAGTGTTGAAATCTTCAGGTGGTAAAACCTTAATGTTTTTGCTTTGGAGTTCATCACACTTTTGGAGTTGGATGTTGGATATTGCGTTAAGTTTCTCTTCCCTATATGGAAAATAAAGTTATGCTACTATTCATAAGTAATTTTTGCTTATTCATTTTATCTTAACTGCTAACATAAACTTTTGTGCTCTATACCTAATTGAATCATGCCTGGAAATAATATCTTATCGAAATAGCCTTAAATTTCTAATTTGTCTTGAGATTCACAAGTGAGATTCAGGTTATTCAGTCTGCAGTGTATAATTCCTCATAACTGTTATGTGGAGTAAATGAGTTGATTTACCTGGGCTTTCTTTACACTAAGTGTCAGTTGCTATTTTTATTGTGTAGAATGAATAGCTTCTTGGCAGCTCTTTCCAGCTGCTTTCCCATCTTTTTTATTGAGAAAGTCCCCAGTAACATGGAGTTTATCTTTTAACATGTATATAAACATACAACATTTCACACACAGTAAACATTCTGTTAGCATTAATTGTGCCACAGATTAGACTGAGAACTGAAGATTGAGGAAAGATTAGTATTAATGTGTCAAAGTTAATAAGCTGCTCATAGAATAATGCAGTATATATGCCAAGACACTAGGAATATCAGAGATCTACAGAAATCTACATATGAAACCCAATCTAATGCTATATCTGTGGAATCAAAACCATCACAGGTATACAATTGGTTTATAATGGATTCTTTTCTTTTTTCTTTCTTAGTAAATATGAGTCTAAATATCAAACTACTTTCCAGGCCCCCTTTTTGCCAAATATGCATACACATCTGATTTCTGAGTTTCTGTGAATCTTAAAAAAAGCAAAGTGTATGAAGAACTGACAAATAATGGAAATTCAACACATATCAGTTAGCTCCAAATCTCTATTATTGGTTTGAATGCTAAGTCTCATGGAAAACCAACCAACCAACCTATATTTCATGTTTGTTAAGTTTGTATCTGCCTTAAAAATGGAAGCATTGTGTTATTTTGCATTTGCACTGCAGGTGGATATTGTTGGTTCAATTCAGACTTTATTTCACTGAGTTAACATGTATAATTCATTTGAATTACTTATTTTAATAAGGACTTGTGTAAAAAAATACTGGCAAATTAATGTATCAAATCTCCTCTCTTTAAATCAAGTTAAACCTCTTTTAACTAAAAACCTCTTTTTACTAAAGTAGGTAAATTGCAGATAATTGAGAGGACAGTTTGAAGTCTGTATTATGTGGGGAGCCTGAACACCTTTACAAAAAAAACCCTAAATCTTGGTTCCTTCCCATAATGTTATTCTTTATACAAGAGTCCTATGCCAGTATTCCTAGTTGGCTAATTGTTATGGATATCTTGTCTTTAACTGATAACTCAGGTATCAGACTCCTTCTATCTCTCATCTAGGTCCTAGGCATCCTCTCTATTCACCTGACACATGGGAAAAGAGAGAATATGGAGGATTGTGTGGAAGTTTATGGCCAGAGTGTCAGCAGCATATGTTGCTCCTGGATATAATCTACTCACAAGAATTCAGTGGCTCCATATAGTTGCAAGAGAAGATGGGAAATGCCATGTTGTTGAGTGTCTAAGAAGGATAGGAAGTGGGGTGAAATATTTTTCTCTGCCATGATTGTAACATTTCATGAATAGAATTCTAAATTTGAAAACTGCAGTCATCGTGAAAAGAAGATTCTGTTTGTTTCTTCTGTTATTCTTTTTGTGTTACTGGATTTTCTTTCTTTCAGATAATGGTCAATGATTCCCTGTTATCTGATGAGAATTCATATGTGACATTGACAGTTGTCCGGTCCCCAGGGGGAAAGGGCGCTGTCCGACTTCGGTGGACTGTAGACGAGAAAGCTAAGGATAATCTCAGTCCTCTAAGTGGGACACTTCATTTTGATGAGGTAATGGCAGCATGAGGACTCCTGTTATATTTCTCTAATTTGATATTTATAATTTGTAGTTTCTCTAATTTTGTCTAATTTCTCTTAGCATATATATTATTGTGAATTTATATGATAGTATTTAATACATCTGGAATATTTCGAAATTCCCTACACTGTAGGGAAAAAAATTCTCTGAGGGCTGGGGTTGTGGCTCAGTGGTAGAACACTCTCCTAGCATGCATGAGGCACTGGGTTCGATCCTCAACACCACATAAAAATAAAATGAAGATATTGTTTAAAAAATTCTTCTCTGAGAGAGAAAGAGGAAGAAAACTCCCAATTCTGCTGTCAGATTATTTAATCCCATGGCCAACTTCTTACAGTTCCTTCTCTGACTGAGGGCAAAGTTCTGAGTATGCAAAACTTTTATACTGAGAACAGGTTGATTGTGTCTCATGATAATACAATCTCATAGATAGTCTCAGCTTTACAAAGGCTTGAAATTTTTAACATCCCTGTACACTTTGAGAAAAAGATTGATATTATAGCTGCTCAGAAAACTGAATCAAGATACATAATTTAAGAATGGGAAGCCCATTACAATCCTTCCATATGTATCTCAGCCCTCTACAACAACAAGTGAAGGTGAAAGGTTCTGTCTACTTTACTTTGATGAATGAACAGGATCTCTTTGACCATATGATTGGTTTCTACAACTAGTAGAACCAGAAACTAGGGGTCGTGCTTTTTTTTTTTTTTCTTCAGAGCTTTCACAACCAAAGGAAAAAATACAGTATTTTCTTTTGGTTTACTAATAGATAAATAATAAATTAATTAGTGATGCCCTCTGACAGTCTATTTGCTTCTTAAATATTACCATTTTTGAGGTATTGGTTGCTCTAATGGCATTAAATTTCAGGTGTTGCAGGTATAGCATCCCTTTGTTTCTCAGAATCTAATAAGCAGTGAGTCAGGAAACATCTAGGTTGCATAACTTAGCTATGATCTGAAAATTTCTCACCTAGCATACAAAGAATTTAAAATTTAGAAATGAGTCATGAATTTCTGTGAAGGTTTTCCTTGGTAATAATGGGCATATTTTTCTAGTTACCAGGTTCTAACTGTCAGATTTATTTCTCAGGTGATTACAAAGGGTTTCTGGTTTTGAGCATCTTATCAAATGGCAAATAATGTTATCTTTTCCCCTATTGTGTAAAGCCATTCCTTTTCAGAGCACAGCCTCAAGAAGGATGGATTTATTCCTGGATTTGACCCTATTTGCTAATTGTTTGTCACCAGTCTTAAACAGGTTGAAGGCTGAGTTTCCTTTATGTACAATTGTATAGCAGCACCATTGTTCTTGCATATCTAGTTCTAAGGTATCCATATCTACAGGACAGGGGTTCTAATTTGGTTTTGACAACCCCTGCAGTCTTCTCCTGGTCCTGCTTATGGCTACTACTACACAGGTGGATCTCTAATCCCACAAATAATTCTCACAGCAATGCTCACTTTTGACAATTGAGATACTAGTCTACAGGGCAGCCCTAGTGGTACCATAGTTAACTGTATAATAGCTTCCTGGACTGCCTTAAAATGTACCAACGATTGTGAGAGTTACTCTTCCCCCACTTACAGGGAAATTCTCTTTGTGATCTTTTCAGTTCTTTCTTGGCACTAGAGAAAGTCACTTCTGACTATGTATTTCTGCATGAAGGATATCTGAGCTCCATATTATTACAGAAGTGTGCAAGCCTCTAGGACTGATGAATGTCCACAGATGATATGTCAGTAGGTCTTTCCTGGTGATAAAGTTATGAGATGCAGGGCCTAAAGGTTTTGGAGAGAGTACTCCTTAGATCAACATCTGTTCAAGTAGAAGCTGCAGCATTGTGCAGGGTTGAAGGCAAGCTATGATGGAGTATTGAACTGACACTACCACACACTATAGCTTGTCTTCAAAAGGGACTAACAATTCAAAGTTGTCCTGAGTTTTAGAAGCATTGAGTTTCATAATCTTGTGTTGTGTAAGTCACCACAAGTGAACTATGCCAGAAAGAGGATCTGACCTACAGGAGAGGTATTTCTTCAGATGAGGCAATTTCCAAAGGAGCCTGAAGATGAGAGTTGTCTGCCTGAAATACTCCCAGCACATGCGGTAATGAGTCCTTTCTTGAAGGGATAAGATCTCACTGGACATCAGAAAATCTACATGGAGATCTGGGGTAGAGCCATGCTCAAGAAAAGTTTGCTCTGAGAATCTCTCCTACTGTTTTCCCTTGGTCTTCTCTGAATTAGTGTAATTTTTCTGCTAATTTTGGTTCTCTTCCCTCTACCCATTCCTGCTTCCTTCCTACCTTTTCAAAAGATTTTAATCCCAAGAATACTATTATTTCTTCCCTATCTTGTATTTCCCTTTAGCTCAATAATTTCCTAGAAACTTTGCTTTCAACATAGCCTGGAAGAAGTAAAATGGCCCCTGGATAAAGAACAAAGGAAAGGAAACACAGAGAGAAACTAAATTTAATGCTCTGAGACATCACTGTGACACACTTAATTTTTATCTCCACCTTTTCCTTTGCATTCTGATTTTAAAAATCCCAACTTATTCTGTATATCGCTGATTAAATTTTCTGCAGCTTGGATCCTACTGTTTATTGCTTCTGGGGAATGTTCTTTTTTTTTTAATTGCATTTTTTTGACATTGTTATTCTTAAATAACATCTCTTAATTTTCATCTCTTCACTCATGCAGTTCTCTTTAGTGTTACTTGTACCTATTTTGTAATAGATGCACTTTTTTTCATTTTTCTTTTTTCTTTTTAGATACACATGACAGCAGAGTGTATTTTGACTTATTATACATATATGGAGTATAACTTATTCAGGATCCCATTCTTGTGGTTGTACATAGTGGTGTATTCATGTATGAACATAGGAAAGTTACTTCAGATCCAATATATTCACTTTTTAAATGTTGTTAGGACTTCTAGGAAAATGTGCATTCCTGCTTGGGACCTTATTAAGTGTACTCATGTGAAGTGTGTAATTCCTGGGATGTAACACATCACTCCCATCTCATTTACTCTATGCATAATGTGAATTGTAGGATCAGAATTGATGTGAAGAGGAAGAGCTGAGGAGAGTAGGACCACAACAGCTTTGCATTTTATGGCAGCCAGTTATTGTGGTCAGTGTTGTCTCTGTGGCCTGGAGTTCAGAGACCTCAGCAAATGGTCTTAATCCCCTGGTTCTCCATGTTATTTATGTTCAGGCTGGGGAATGTATATGTGCCATTTAATCAACCCCAGATTGATACCTCCATAAGAGAAAATTATGCCTTGAATTTAGAAACCTTTTCTCAGTTTCTTTTTCCTTTGTTGTCAGTATAGGTCCCTTATGGTGTCTATATGTGCATTTGAAGAAGGCGCATCTCCCCCAATCAGCCTGCTGCCAGTTTAACTTAGAAGTCCCTTCCCTCCATCTTTATATTTTAATTTGTTATAAAAATGTGTGTCTTCGTGTAAACCTCAATCAATACAGATGGATGTGAAAAGAGTAAAATCCCCATGAATTCTCCTAGATCTTGCTTTGCTACTTACCAGAGGTAACCACTATTGACAGTTTCTTATATGGCATTCCAATTTTTTTTCTGTGTATATTCAAGCATATGTATCTTATTCTTACACAAATGGAATTTTAGTCTGCAATCTGTTCTGTAACTTGCTCTTTTTACTTTAGAATTTATCTTAAACATTTATTTTTCATACTAACGCAAATTCGCTGCACTGAAGAATTAATTGGTTATATATTTTCCACTGCATTGATTCCTGTCAGTATTTGATACTAACACCTTTCTTTGAGAGTCCTCTGTTTCACCATGGCTTTTATAGTTTTGGTATTTCTTATTTGTTTCTCTGCATTTTACATTTTTTGCTCAGTGTTCTCTTGTCCCTAGTTCCACTTTCTCAAGGATTTATGTGCTGTTGCAGTTTTCTGTCATCTATACTCATCTACTTTACTCACTTTATAGTCTTAATTCTCTTGTGGTACTGGGAGTAGCGACCTAAAAAATAAAAGCGATGTAGAGTCCATAGCTAGTTAACTTTGATTCACATCTTCACTCTTCCATTTGCTAGCATGTGATTCCAGGAAAGTTCATTAATTCTTCTCACATTTGGTTTTCTAATGCAAACCAAGGACAAGTAATGCTGAATTTGAATAAAGACTATAAAGATTACATGATGTTATGGTTGTAAAGAGGCTAACCAACCCCCTAACACTTAGAAAATGCTTTCCAAAAACCTTTAAAATAGTTTTAAAGTCATTTAGAAAAATTCTAATAAAATATCAAGTTGATACCTCAACTTAATACAGTAAAGCTCAACTTTTTTCTACATTGAATGATCAAAAATTAATGGCTTCAAATTTCAAAAAGCTGAGAAACTCTTTTTGTTTTCCTAATGTAGTTTGTAGTAGCATTTCTTGAACCACTGCTCTGTACTGCTGTTCTGCAGAATAATAATTGCTCTAAAAGATTCAGTGTTCAAATAGAGTTGGGAAACTCCAAACTGAATTAAGAAAGCTTTCCTGGTGCAATTAAAAAAATTACTTGCATACATTTTGAATCTCTAATAGAGAAACTCTTCGAAATATATTTCCCCATGAAACTTCCCCATCACCTTTTATCCCAGAACATTTATCTTTTGTAACTAGTGTTCCAAAAACATTGGCATTTGCTACTTGTAATCACCTGTCAGCGGTTTTTCCTATTACTTCTTGTCAATTTTTTTGAGAAATGGAGATCATACCACATGGAAACTGCCTTATATCTAGAGTAGTAAGGTGGGTGGCAACATAACTGTGTAATGATTCTTATTGATTCTTATGATGCATGTTGATCATTATCCACAATGCTACATTTGTGAATTTGCCTGTTGACTAAAATTTATTTGTAAATCCCCAAATCAGTACTCTTGCCTCTCTCACAGTCATTTTTGGACACACAAATAGTGGTGAAAAATAAGATTCACCCAATTAGCACATTCCCTCCTGAGGTAGAACAAGACGTGACTTTTCTTGTTTCCACTCTCATAATGTAAACAAATGTCTTTGTCATTGTCAATGTATTGCCATTTTATTTCCATTTTCATTTTCTGTTGGTGAATTCACTGTTTTAAATGGCCCCCAAGTGTAGAGCTGAAATCTTCAGTCTTCAGTAAGGAGTTTGTGATATGTTATAAGGAGAAAATATTGTTTTGTGTTAGATAAGCTATTCAAGTCTGAGTTGCAGTGCTTATTTAAAATGAAAAATATGTTAAAATGACTCAGAGTTTTTGCCAGTGTGCACATCTCTGCAAATGACCATAAAAGTGCCTGAATACTGATTCTGGGGTTACCAAAAAAAAGCTGGTTGAGCAGGCAAATTTGTAAATAGGGATTCCAAAAATTATGAGCGTTAACTATATTTTCAACCAATAGCACCTCAGAGAAATTACTCTATATACAAAGAAGCATGTAGAAGAATGTTCGTGGTAGTATTATTTACAACGATTAATAGTTCTTGTTAGATAAATGTTGAAAATATTATAAGTGCAAACAATAGACTGTCCACACCAATTAAAAGGATAAATTAAATCTGCATGCAGAAATGTGGATGACTTTAACAGTATATACTGAAAGAAAAATTAAGAAGCAGACACAATGCATTTAAGAGTGAGTGACAGGATGAGGAGGGATTTGACAAATGGTATTTAAAGGGCAGAAGCCAGGTACTTTGGTGAGCACCTGTAATCGCAGCTACTCTGAAGGCTGAGATGAAAGGAACACTTCAACTCAGGAGACCAGCCTGAGCAAAATAGTGAGACCCCATGTCAGAAACAACAATCAGGGCATGGTGGTTCACAACTATAATCTCAGCTACTTGGGAGCCTGAGGTAGAAGGATCATCAAATTCAAGGCCAGCCTCAGGAACTTAGGAGGCCCGTTTCTCAAAATTTTTAAAAGTACTGGAGATGTAGCTTAATGGTAAAGTATCCCTGAGTTCAATCCCCAGTATCAAAAAGCAAAATAAAATAAAAGAAATGGGCAGATAAAGGACAAAGACTAAGTAGAAATAAAAGGCCATCCTTTGTCCAGTGGAAATAGTGCTGAAGACCAGAAGAGGATCAATACAAACTGTGCTCCTAAGATTCAGGACAAAAAAAGAAAAAAAGAATGAAACATAAAATCAATAATATTTTGTGCCAAGCACGGTGGTGTGCATAGGTAGTTCCATCTATTTGGGAAGCTGAAGTGGGAAGTTCTGTTGAACCCAGGAGTTCAAGACTAGACTGGGCGACAAAGCAAGACCTTGAGACCTAATCTCAAAAACAAACAAACACACAAACAAACAAACAAACAAATAGCATTCCTGGGTTTTAACAGCAAGGGGAAAAAAGTATAAGAAAACAGGATGCATTCAGCAAGAAACAAATGGAATATATACGAACAAAGGAAAACAAAATCTGAAAGGTGATGATTAAAAAAAACCCTGAAATGTGTATATAAAATTCCAGGTTCCTGGATGGAAGCACTAGATTTTCCTTATGAATTAGGCTCCTGTATTGCTGCCTCTGGTACTATTGTTAACCAGGAATGTGCCAGAGATAACTTAACATTGACAATACAGGCCATGAGAAGGATGTCAGTGATAATTAACTACAGCCTATTTCTAGCCTATCGATTGCAGCTGTGACTATAATCTCAGGTCATCCATTGCTTGTTTTTCTTCTTGAATGGAGCCAACTCCCCTTACAGATATTAAATCTATGACTTTTTACAGTTTACATTACGATGTAACCATTTGTCCTCTAAAAGATTAAACTCCAGTACTGAATTTTTTCAGTAAATTTAGGAGATGAGTTAATTTTTTAAAATTTTTCCTATTAAGAGTATTAATGGGGGCTGGGGATGTGGCTCAAGCAGTAGCGCGCTCGCATGGCATGCGTGCAACCCGGGTTCGATCCTCAGAACCACATACCAACAAAGATGTTGTGTCCGCCGAAAACTAAAAAATAAATATTAAAAATTCTCTCTCTCTCTCTCTCTCCTCTCTCACTCTCTCTTTAAAAAAATAATAAAAAAAAGAGTATAAATGGAATTTATAGTTAGAGTTGACTTTTTTTGTATAGATGCAACCCTTATTCTGGGCGACAGAAAGGACTGAAAAAGTGATTATGCACATAAACCTTATTCTGCTAATAAAAACACTCAAAGTTTGACTTTGGTCAATCTGGAAGATTTATTGTTCTTCTCTTTGGTATAGATGGAGTCTCAGAAGACCATTGTATTGCATGCACTGCAAGACACCATGTTGGAAAAGGACAGGCATTATACAATTCAGCTGTTGCCAATTGATGAGGTAGAAATATCTCCGGCAAAAGGTAAGAAAAATTTTGGAAATTAAAAAGTAGATTAAAGCAGATAATTAGTAGTTACAGAGATAGGCAATGTTAGGCTTTCTAATTCCTAAAATTTTGCTAAAACATAAAGATGTACTCAAGATAAATACATTTTTAAATTAACATTATAATACCCCATGTTGGTAAGACATAGGTCAGATTTCATACTGCTCAGCTGTGACTTTTTAAATAAAAAATTTTTATGAAGCAATATTATAAAATTAATTATGGTAGCTTCCTAAATGATGTGATATTAGGAGACTGGTTAAATGTGGCAGAATAGTTTGCAATCATTTAAAATGATGTGGCAGAGAAACAACTACATTGAAAACAAATAACAATCACATGGGTAATTGTTATGGTAATAAAATAGGTTTCAGAACAACATGCTTAATATAACCCATTTTTGTCATGTGCATGTTTTCTTTCTTCCTTTCTTTTCTTTTCTTTTCTTCTTTTCGTTTCTTTTCTCTTCTCTTCTCTTCTCTTCTCTTCTCTTCTCTTCTCTTCTCTTCTCTTCTCTTCTTTTCTTTTCTTTTCTTTCTCTGAATGAAGCCCAGGGCCTCATGCATGCTCCGTATGTGCTCTGATGTGCTTGTCTTATGTAAGTTTGGAATTATTTATTTGAAATATTAATAATGGTTTTTGATTTCCTAAATTTTGGAAACATTATTTTTATAATACAACATTATTTTAAATCAACATATTATGTTTGATATGTAGTATATACCTGTTTTCATCTGAAACTAGAAACTACATATTTTGACACTTCAGAAACAGGCATCATATAGTTCCTGTGATGACTTGTTGCTTGGATCAGTAGAGAATGTGTTCTATCAACAATAATCACAGTAAAAAATGGCCCAGAGTTTAATTATAAAAACTTTGTATTGTTACATATCTTTTTTGCTATCAAAACTCCATCCTATTTATGGGTCTGTGACAAAAAGCAAATTCTGTGGTCAGGAAAATTCTAGCATTACTGTATGTATTTTGGGTAGTTATCCTTTTGTGTTATGTGTCATCATCAACTTAGGTAGTGCATCAATAATCATTCTGGGAGAAAGGGGAGCGCCAGGAGAAGTTGGGATAGCTCCATCATCTAGGCATGTCCTCATTGGGGAGCCTTCAGCTAAATATAATGGTACTGCTATCATCAGGTAAGAGCTTCAAGATTTTTCTTTGCTTCTGTGGGGTGATGACATTGTTTAAAGGATTAGTCGTAGTACACCATTCTTAGTGCATACACAGTGTTCATGCATCATGATTTTACATAGAGGTAGCATCATTTGGAAATGCTGCACCTTTTAGACTGAAATAGAAATTAGATCCCAAAAAGGTTTCAGACTAATGGATGATTTGCATAACCTACACCAAGGAAAGCTCCTGGCGTTGAGATCAAAAGTCCATGCTTTCAGCCCTATTCTGTAGCTAAATGTGCAATATAGGAGATATATTCCATCTTTGTTAGCATGTATGCCTTAACTGGAAACCATCTTTTAAAAAAGCATCAAGATCAAAAATTTTGATTCTAAGTGTTACAATGTCAGGACTTATCATGTAACTAAATTAGTATGATCATAGGAATGTCTGTTTCAAATTTTCTCATGAGGAATAGAGGTGGCAGCCATCAATGAAGTGGCCAGATTTGACTCAATATTTTATCTTTGTGATAGTTATCCAAAGATGATTATTTATCTTTTTCCATTAGCATGCACATGTATGAAGTGTTTATTATTCTTTGGAGAAATTTGTTAGGCTATTCATATTTTATGCCCTATGTGTTAAAAATCTGTAACAACTTCTTTTTATTCCCTAAACCTCCCACTATTAATGTTCAGTTTTTGCCAATATGCTTGTCATACATTGACACTACACTAGCTCAGTATTTTCTAAGTATTATAATTGATAGACAAGTTTATAATTGATAGACAAGTTTAGTTAAAAGAATAAAGTTCTTGAAATAAATGAAAATTGGTTACTGTTGAAAGATTCAGTAAACATTTAGGAAAAGTACACAGCAATCAAAATGTGTTGAATATACATTTGTGTATTGTTGTAGCCTTGTTCGCGGCCCAGCGATCTGGGGGGAGGTCACAGTGTTCTGGAGAATCATCCCTCCTTCTGTGGGGGTGTTTGCTCAAACATCAGGAAAACTGACAATGCGAGATGGACAGTCTGCAGCCATTGTAGTGATACAGGTATCAATGTTGCTGGCTTATTATGCCCTTCACTCTGTGTGTGTGTGTGTGTGGGGGGGTGGTATTGGGGTGGGCCATGAGGAGGTTGATAATATTGCAGAATCTGTTGCTGCTTTTTATGTAAAAGGAATGTTTAAGTTTTACAGATTTTACTGTTAATGATTGTTTTCATCCCTCTCTAGGCTTTGAATGATAATATTCCTGAGGAAAAGTCTTTCTATGAGTTTCAGCTCACTGAAGTCAGCGAGGGAGGAGTGCTGAGTGACTCCAGAAGCACGGCCAACATCACTGTGGTGGCCAGTGACTTTCCCTATGGCCGATTTTCCTTTTCACAGGAGCAGCTTCGAGTATCAGAGGAAGCACTGGGGGTATGGTGTGACTTACTTAACAATATTAATATTTTTTTTGTTTTTGATGTTGTGAATGCTCTTTAAAAGTATTCCCTTGTTCGTAAAGTTTTTCACAAACACATTAAATTGCTCCTTACATTATTTTAACATATAACATATACTTTATAAATTCATGTTTAATTTTGACATAGTCCTGGTAAATAGTCTTTAATTAGAGATAATGTTGTCTGGTAGATTAGACATCCAAATCAAATGAGAAAATGCTTTTTGCCTAGGTTAATGTCACAGTCATCCGTTCGGGTGGATATTTTGGCCTGGTGAGACTCTGGTACAAGACTGTGAGCGGGACAGCAGATGCTGGCTCAGATTTTGTTTCTGCATCAGGGGAGCTCCTCTTTGAAGCCAGAGAGACGGTGAAGAGTCTGCTTGTTGAAATCCTTGATGACGACCATCCTGAAGGCCCTGAAGAATTTTCTATAGCAATTCTAAAGGTGGAACTCCAGGGAAGGTAAAGAAGAACAGGAAATGAGTAAAAAAGAGGGAGAGAGAATGAATAAAGCTACATGTGTAGACACCAATACTGAGGCGTACAACTATTCTTTTCTTGCTGTTTTTCAACCTATGTGATGTTCCAACAGCTCATAGAAGGGAAATTATGAAAAAAGACTAGGTGTTATTATTTGCACTTTTCTGAATTTTAATTTTTCTCTTGAATGTACAGAGTATGTGGCTCTGGTCTGTGAATTCATTCAAAGCAGGCAGGGAATGAGCATGACACTGTGTCTAGTAATCTGGTGAGGAGAGATCCTAACTGTTCTCTAGGTCACAGGTCTGCTGGGGTGGCAGAATTTGCTTCCTGCTATTTCTGAACCTGAGAAAGAACTGGAGGGAGGGGCATCTTCCATTGTGTATCTGAAAGCTGTATTATATTGTTTTCTTATGGGTGGTGCCCAACATCAGTTTTAAAGTGGGGAAATTTTTGAGTGGAAGATGGTTGGCCATTAATGTGCACTATGTTTTTAGTGAAGATGAAAATTTAACCATCATGAGTCTCTTTCATTCTCTGTTTTCATGGAACTGGCTCAGTTGACGAGATGGAAAACACCCTTAGCACATACTTGAGTACCCATGGTTGAACAGCTCACAGGTTCAGCAGCTTTGCAAGCTCCTCTCCTCTGCACAGCTTACAAAGGACACAAAGGGGGTCCTTCCACTAGAATAGCTTTTGTGTTTATAGGAATCTGGAACAATTTTTTTTGTATATGAAAATAGTTTTACATTTGTTACATAATTTTGTGCTTTAAAAACTTTTTGAACTAAAATATTTCTCTCTCAGTGACTTAAGTAGAGGGTACATCATCCTAGCTGGGGGAAAAAATGTTTTGTGTTTACTTACAATTCAAATCTTTAATTTCCCAGAAATGATTTGGTGACTGGCAATGGGAATGAATTTCTACACATATTAAATATGTTAAAAGTCAAACTGGTCACCCCTTGAATTGAATAAGTTCATTTTGGAAGAAATAGCTAATTAAATGTGAGGTCATATGTGTGATATTGATTGATTATAAGGGGACTTAAAGATTTTTGCCTTCTTGGCTTTTTAAAAAAGTAGTTTCTACTTAAGTTTAATTCTGGGAAATAAGTGTGACCTTCCAGATAAATTTCTGGACTTCCTTTGATCTGAAAAAGAAAGTAGTATAGCATAGTGTTTTTTCCTTGTTGCCTGCTTACTAGAATTACTACTACTTTGATACTAATGTATGCTAATCAGCTAATTTACAACCCATATCAGAGTACTGATAATAGTTACTGTTATCATTTAATATTTTAATCCTCAGTTTTCCAATTTTGCCTAATACAAAATATTTATTTACCACTTTTCAAATTTCAGTACAATGTAGGTTATAAATATCAGGTAAACAGAATTTGAGAATTGTAAGGACTAAAATCATTCACTGTCATTTTTTTTATCTTTAGAAAATAAAGTGTCATAAAGCCCTGTAAGTTAAAGCTTGTTCCATGGGAATAATATCTATCTTAAAAAATGTCTTTTGTAGAAATGTTATTATATAAGTAAACTGCCCTCAATATAAAGGAATTATAATTTCATTAAAATATTTTCTTAAATCTTGATGGTTTAACTTGAAATTTAATTAACAAAAAGATACTCCTTATATTTTTAAAGCAACCCTTGTAACCTAGCAATGTAAACCTCACCCCTACCTGGTTTACTCTCTGAGTGCCCAAGGCTCATTACTATACATGTGCTCAGAAGTGATCTCCAGAGGTTTGTTTTATTTCAGTTGCTTCCAAATTTTCTAATAGATTTACTATGTTCACATTGCCCAAGTTTAGTGATTTTATATTAGTTTTGGTTTCATGAAGGTGCCAGTAATTGGGAGAAGCACAGAAATCTTTTCAAAACATCATTAAAAAAAAGGAGTACCTTAGTGTTGAGTATCCTTAAAAGCATTACAATACTTAATAGAGCTAAGTTACAGGAGCTAAAAGATCCCAAAGGATCTTTCAATTCATGCTAAGCAATTATGTATTTGTTATTTATTTTCTGTGTTTTAAAATTTTATTTTTTATGACTTTCCAAAGAGGATATGATTTTACCATCCAAGAAAATGGACTTCAGATAGATCAACCTCCTGAAATAGGAAACACCTCTGTTGTTCGAATCATAATAATGAAAAATGATAATGCAGAGGGAATCATTGAATTTGACCCAAAGTATACTACTTTCAAAGGTAAGTCCAAGTGGCTTAATTGTATGTTTTCCACCATCTTCTCAATTAGAAAGTACCTGAACATAGTATTCAGTTTGAATTTGCATATGTAAAATTTTCTTGGTTTGGTGTGTATGTGTGTGTGCACACATATATATCTTTATATTTTTATATTTACTAATTTTGAAAATGTTTTTAATTATCAATATGAAGTCTTGAACCATTCTGTGTATGGCAAAGCCAAATGGTTAAAAATAAGTAATTGTAGAAAAAAAATTATACTTAACCTTAGGATTATTAAAATGTTTCAGTTTTAAACATTTTAATGAAAACTTCTCTAAATTATTTAATTTCCTATGTCATAAGAAATTAGTGAATATACACTTTTTAGTGAATAATTACCTTTGAAATGACTTTGTTATTGGTGCAGGTGGAGGTAGTGTCTGGATCTTGATCCTATTTCTGGAAATAGTTGAGTATCAGTTTCCCTTTGTAGAAGTTCCCTTCTATAGAAGAAGAGAACAGAGAATTAAGGCTATATCCCTTTCTAGGCAGAAAGAGAAAGCTCCCTTTCTAGGAAATGGTTTTATTTAAAGGTATATAAGGGGAATGAAGGGAAAGTAGGGGAAATGGTAATAGGAAAGACAGTAGAATGAATCAGGCATAATTTTCTTATGTTCATATATGAAGACACAACCAGTGAAACTCCACATCATGAACAACCACAAAAATGTGACCTTAATTAGAATAAGTTATACTCTGTGTATGTATAACATGTCAAAATACACTCTACTGTCATGTATATCTAAAAAGAACAAATAAAAATGCTACTTAATCTGAAAAATTAACATGTTATCTTGCTTCGGCAAGTAATTTATTGGCTCCATTGTTTCTGTCAAAATTCTTGGTTATCTCGACATTTTTAAAGTTCATCAAAAAATCATTTGAGGAATTGGTTAATAATGACTCTTATGGGTAAATCATGCAAGATATTACTATTTTCTGAACTTTAGTCTACAACTAGTAAAAGTTGTGTTGAATTTTTGCATGAAGAAAGAAATAGGATTTTGACTATTTTTTCCGTTTCCTAATTTTGATTCACTCTCTTTTTGGGAATCATGGGGTAATACCTCTTTATATATAGTTTTTATGTAAGTGCAGTCTTATTTGTCCCTAGATATGTGAACTCTATGAAATGATATTTTAATATATTGAGGTTAGTAGAGCTCAAGTAGAAATAAAGATTTTAAAATTAATTTTTAAAATGTTTTGAAATCAAGAATTGAGGTTGCATTTTCATATTCACAGTATATTTTAAAGGACCTGAAACCATAACAGAATTTTTTATGTAGATTTTTAAAGTATTCATATAAGTAGCATACATTTTATTTATTTATATTATTATCTTTCAACAAACTATTTAGAACTAATCCATATATAAATTTGTAATCCATATATAAATTTGAAGTTTCTTAAGTCCAGCTAACATTGTCTTATAAACCAAGTCTTTATGTTTGTACATGGTACACAGAGAAGAAATGCCTATACTAATGACTAAATAGGTTGTGTGGATTCTAACCTTTACTGTTCACTATAACTTTCAACATCTAGTGAACTACATTATTCCTAAAAAAAAAACGAGTCATGAAATTTTCACTAATCGTTTTTAAAGTGACAGCTTGCCTTGTCACATCATGTTTAGTTACCTAGTTTAATTTGTCTGAATCATATAAAAGTTGGTTGCTTTTTCCAATGTACCAGTTAACTCCCAGTTCCCCTTACAGTGGAGGAGGATGTTCGAGCAATTGCGATCCCAGTGGTGAGGCTGCATGGAACTTATGGCATTGTGACTGCTGATGTCATCTCCCAGAGCTCCTCTGCTGTTCCAGGGGGCGTCAGTTATATGCTGCACAGCAGTTCAGTCACCTTTCAGCATGGACAGAACTTAAGTTTTATAAATGTCTCCATCACTGATGGCAGTGAAAGGTTGGTAATCCAGGAAACAGTGTGAGCCCACATAAAACATGATATTGAGATCTGACTCTAACATGCACCCATAGTACATGTGCCCATTGAGAAAGAGCAGATGAAAGACTTTAGGGGATGTTGGGCATAGGGAAAGGGGTCCTGGGACCATCATTGTGTATGTCATTTCCTTTCAAATAGAAGAGATAATTTCTATTTCTGGAGACTTAAAAACTCTAGTCAGAATGTGGAAACATCCTTCAGTGCACTGCCTTAAGCCTTAAGCAACTGAAAAGAGAGGAGGAAAGTCTAATAACTGTCCCAGGTTATGTAATATTGATGCTGATCATTCATGCTTTCAGTTAAGCACCCTCTTCCTCCATTTGGAGTCGGACTACTGTGCCTTGAAAATGTATGATAAATTTGGAAAATGACTAGTTATTTGGATTTTACAAGCATTTTAATATGTTTAGACCCAGAATTGCTCCTTCTCGCTATGCAGTGAATTTGAGGAGCCTTTTGAAATTCTTCTCACTGGAGCTACTGGTGGAGCGATCCTTGGGCGCCACCTAGTGAGCAGAATCACCATCACCAAGAGTGAATCTCCATTTAGCACTATAAGATTTCTCAATCAAAGCAAAATTTCTGTTCCTAACCCCAATTCCACAATGATTTTATCCTTGGTCCTCGAAAGAACTGGAAGACTCTTAGGAGAGATTCAGGTAGAGTTATTCTTTTTTTTTGGTTTTAAAAATAATTTTTGATAGATTGTATATGATTTTGGATTTTCTTCTCCAAATATATATGCTTATTCACAATCAATAAATAGTATTTATTAATTACCGTTTCTGGATAAAATGAAGTACATAAAAGTGTATTGGACATACATCTATCCTCAAGGAATTCTTGAGAGAAAGTTAATGATTCTGTTTAAATTAATAACTTCAACAAATATTTTTTATTTTTATGTGTTTTTTTTTTTTTCCGGTACCAGAGATTGAACTCAGGGGCACTGAATCACTGAACCACATCCCCAGCCCTTTGGCATGTTTTATTTAGAGACAGTGTCTCATTGAGTTGCTTAGTGCCTTGCTAAGTTGCTGAGATTGCCTTTGAACTCGTGATCCTCCTGCCCAGCCTCTTAAGAGCCACTGGGATTATAGGCATGTGCTACTATGCCCAGCTTCAACAAATATTTATTGGGAGATTTCTATGTGCTGATCCTGTTTTAAGTACTAAAAATAAATTTGTTAATTAGATATCTTATGTGTTCCTACAGAGTGCTCACTTTAGAAAACATTATTAAACAGTAATACAATTAGTAAAAACACATTATCTGATGACAATTAGGGCTCTGTTTATAAAATTGGGAGATACATTTGTGAATGACCTGCTGTCTTCTTTTTTTGTGTGGCACTGGGGGCTGAACTTAGGACACTCTATCATTGAACTTTACCTGAGCCCTTTATTATTTTTCATTTTGAGATGGATTTTGCTAAGATTTTGGTCTTGAACTTGCAAACCTCCTCTTCAGCCTCCTAACTAGCTGGGATCACAGGCTTGTTCCACCACGCCTGGCTGCTGGCTACCTTTAATTGGATGTTGAGGATATGATGTTGAAGCTGAAGGCTGAGGGCATGTAATTGTTAGAGAGTTAAGTATGTGGGAGTCGTGCAGAGACATAGCCTGACGTGAGTGAGGAGAGGTCTCAGTAGTCAGGGCTTGCAAGTAATGGTACAAGAGTACAAGATAGATCAGAGGGCTCAATAGGTATTTAATCACATAGAACCTCCTTTGCCAGGTGAAAGATCAATTCTAGGTGAAAATAGGATACTATTACAGAGACTTAAGATCGGGAATAATGTCATGGATTGTCATCGAAAGCATCTCACCCTGACTACTGTTAGGAAAGTGGTTTGCCATTGGAGCAATGTAGAAGCAGCAGGGATTAAGTTAGGAGGCTATTGCCCTCTGCAGAAATGGTGGTGGAAAGAGATGATCAGTGAATAGACATTGAATGTGTTTTGGAGGAAAATTCACTGGGTTCAAACTGGAGACTGAGAGAAAGAGAGGAATCAAGGATACCTTCTAGAATTTTAGTTTGAACGATTGGCTAAATAGTACTGTTTTCTGATATTCAGAAGTTTGAGGGTGAATCAGGAGTTCTGTTTTGCCATGTTAATTTGAGATACTAGTTGATATGCCAGTGGAGGAGTCAAGTAGACTGGGGAGTGTGTGAGTGCATGCACAGTGTGTGGTCACGGCTGCGGCACAGAGTGGGAATACATTGACACTCAGAGAGTTTTTTGAAACCTTGAGACCAAAGAGTGTAGATAGTGATGTGGAAAGTATGTAGCTGAGCCCTGGGCTTCTGGAATTTAGCATTCAGAGCAGAGAGCTAGCAAAGAAGACTGAAAGTAAAGGAGGAAGAAAACCAGGAAGGCATGTGCCCTGTAAGTACCATACAAGCCAAGAAAGATAGCATATAGTGTTGCTGGAAGATCAAGTGACAAGCAAGAACAAGTGCTCTGTTTTTTCTTTTCCTTCATAGTTGATATGAAAAATATGAAATTTGGAATTATTGAAATTTAAAAATACATTTATTATAATGTGAAAATTTGTTACTTATAACAACTTATGAAGATTTCTGTTCATTTTACAATAGGAATTTAACTACATAGACATGCAGTTTATATTTGCAAATGCCATTGTTTTATTAAGAAAATAAGCCGGAATAAGAAGTAGGAATTCTCTGGATTTATCCTATAATAGTTTTATAATATATGTATGTTAGTTTTTTTCTAATACTACATATACTGCATTAATCCTTTGGTTAAAACTGATCTTCTCTATTAAAAAATAAAAAACAAAACATTTTGCAGGTAAACTGGGAGATAGTAGGACCCAATTCTCAGGAAACCTTACCACCACAGAACAGAGACATTGCAGACCCAGTGAGCGGATCATTCTTTTTTGGAGATGGAGAAGATGGAGTGAGGACCATAATTCTGGCAATCTATCCTCATGAAGAAATTGAAGTTGAAAAGACTTTTGTAATTAAACTTAAACTTGTGAAAGGAGACGCTAACTTAGACTCCAGAGCTAAAGATATTACATTAACTGTAAGTCTGACTTTACCTACAAAGTTTCAGATTTAATAGATTTATCAAATACATTTATAGTGTTTGAAACTCTATATGCTTGTATTGAATTGAAAATTATGAAGCCATAAGAAGTTATAGTAATTCCAATAGATCAAACCTTTTTATTTTTATGTTTGTTCATGACATAGCCTGATTATTAGCAATTTTTAAAAAGTTTTAAGAGAGTGATACTTATTTTACAATCTTTGAGAAAATTTGGTGTTTTGGGAATATTTGGCACTTTTACAGAGGAAGTATTTGTTATGTCATCTTTGTCTTCAAAATAAAGAAAAATTATTAATGTGCTATAAATCAGGTTTTTTGAAGGAAGAATGCACTTGTTTGATTAGCACAATGATTTGATATTATATTAGACCTGGATTCTATATATGTGATATGAATCACCTAGTCATGAGGGCCAGAATTCCTGGGAATTAAGTAGCCCTGTATTAGTAAGCTACTGAAAACAATGTAGAGAGAGAGAGCACGATTTGATTTTTTTTGTTGTTTGGAAAATACTCTTGTTTGGGAATCTACTTCTGTCATAGTATTCTGAAGAAAGAGAACCAGTAGGACACATACACATAGAGTGATTGCAAAAGAGAAAGAGATTTTAAGGAATTGTCTCCTGTGATTATGGGAGTTGGCAGGCAGGAAATCCAGGAAAGAACTGAAGCTGTCTGTGGGTCTTGAGTGGGAATTCGTGGGGCAAGCCAACAGGCTGCAAACTCAAGCAAGGTTCCTGAGTTACAGTCTTGAGGCACCATTTCCTTCTGCTGCAAGAAACTTCAGTGTTTGCTTTTCAGTTCTTCAGTTGGCTGGATAAGGCCACCCACTATAGAGGCTAATCTCCTTTATTTAGAGTCAGCTGATCCTTAAGGTTAATCATATCTATAGAACATCTTTTGACAACATCCAGACTGTTGTTCGACCAAACAACTGGAGGTGTAGTCCTTCCTGTTTGAGGCATAAAATTAAGCATTACAGGGCATTTTTGCCTCTGTCCACTTTATGCCATAGCTAGAAAATTAAGATGAATAAAGCAAAAATTAGGTATCAAATTCATATCATTTTCAGGTTTTGCAAATTATAATTTTCTGCATACTTGTTCCCATTATTTTTATGGAATAAAAACCTATTCATCTTAGACAACAGTTAGTATAGTAGTTTACTCTCTTTTTTTAATCAAGTAGGTAAGCATATTATAGTCAAATGTTATTTCTATGTTTCTTCTATTTTCTCGGCTTATTGGTGCATTAATATGTTGGATGCTATAATTTCATCATAGTTGTTTATTTACTCTGCTCTTTTAATGGTCTTTATTTATTTATTTTTTTAGATACAAAAGTTTGGTGATCCAAATGGAGTTGTTCATTTTGCTCCTGAGTCTTTATCTAAGAAGACTTATGTGGAGCCACCAGATTTGGAAGGACCACTGGTCATCACTTTCTTTGTCAGAAGGGTAAAGGGCACCTTTGGAGAAATTACGGTATTATTTTTCATTTGATTTTTCCAAGTACACCAATTTACCTATTGAATGTGGTCAAGAGGGACAGAGAGCCTGCATTTTTCTTTAAAGTTTTTGAAAAACTAAAATTACTTGGGTTTTTGAGATAAATTAAGAGGCTTCATTTAAGCACCTCTGGGCTCTCCAGATCTCATCAAATCTGGTTTTCTTTCTGAATTCAATATGATTACAGTTAGTGTACGAAGGACCTTTCTCAGACTTCATTGTGAAGGACTGAACTATTTTGTATTTTATTTCTTGCTATAAATATGGAGCCTTTTCTGTGTAAGTCTCTTGATTTTTTTTTAGAAATTACTTATTACATTCTTTAAGGCTTTATTTATCAACAGGATATCTCCAGTTAGCAAGTGTTTTTTAAGGGGTTGCATTTGTGTGTTTATTGATATAAACTGAGGATTCTCTTAGAAGTTCTCTTGGTATTTGGCTAAAGTCAACGACAGGTATTTCTTTGCTAGAAAAATATATTTTGTGAAATTTCTGCATACATACTCTCTTCCAGTAATGGATATTAACTGGTACTTCTTCAGTTGAATTTTTATAGTTTGGAGTTCAACAATGCTTGGGAAGTAATGATAAATTCTTGATGATTTATAAATATTTCCTTTATATTTAAAATAAACAAAATCAAATTCTGATGTGAATCATCAAATTTTCTACTTATTTTTATTTTAAAATATCATCTATGGTTCACTAATTAATGTAATTATGGAATTGGTGTGCTAAAATTAGTTAAATTGCTTTTCTTTCTTCAAAATATTCTATTATTTTAGAAGCAAGTCAAATAGTGAGAATTTTAAATCATGTTTTGCAAATTATAGTGAAGGCCTGAAGTGATTCATATACTACACAAACTTACATATACTTAGAGGATTTGGCTTTGAATGTAATGATGCACAACAAAATTTATTTTTGTACTTTATAAAGGGATATTTAATTTATTTGGTTTAATATAGTGGATTATCTAACTTTGTTGGAATTTTTCCCTTTTATTTTAGATTTACTGGGAATTAAGTAGTGAGTTTGATATCACTGGTGACTTTATTTCCACAAATGGATTTTTCACCATGGCTGATGGAGAGACTGATGCAAGCTTTGATGTTCATTTGCTGCCAGATGATATACCTGAGATAGAGGAGGACTGTGTGATGCAGCTAGTTTCTGTAGAGGGAGGAGCAGAACTGGATGTGGAAAAATGCATCACATGGTTCTCTGTGTCTGCAAGTGATGATCCACATGGAGTATTTGCCTTGTATCCAGATCACCAGTCAATACTTATTGGACAGGACCTTATTAGATCTGTCCAAATTAATATCACCAGGCTTGCTGGCACATTTGGAGATGTGGCTGTTAGATTTCGAATATCATCTGATCATAAAGAACAGCTAGTTGCTACAAAAAATGCAGAGATGCAGCTGGTGGTTCAAGATGGTGCCAGATATAAAGTTGACATGGTTCCAATAAAGAATCAGGTTTGTGATGTCCTTATTATTCTTTTAGGGAGTCTTTGCTTACCTCATGATTACTTATGAGTCTTGCTTAGACATTTAAACATATCAATGAAAAGGCCTTAGGGAATGCATAGTAATTATTGGACAATGCTTTTGTAGATTATAAATGACTAAGTATATTTGTCGAGATAATAGCAGGGATTATTCAATACTTACATAGTTCCAGGATAGTATAGTGAGAGAGACTTATTCTTGCTCTCTGGAACTTGAAGGGCCTGCATTAAGTATAGGAACTGATACCTGCTTCTGTCCTTGAAATTTGGGAAATCAGTATAATTTTTTTGAGAGTATTAAGAAAGAGAGAGTAGCACATCTCTCTGCCATCATTTGAGCAATAAAAAGGCCTAAATTTCCTGTGGGTCAAGTAGATACTCCAGCAGTCTTTCTCAGTCTTTGAACCCACAGAAAGTGATTTAAGTGACTGTTTATCTTAATCCTTACAAGGATGGTGCAAACCACATCAGTCTCTATGATAGGAGAGAAATTATTTAATTGAATTCTCTTATGATTAAGAAAGACTGCCCCAAAAGTAGCCAGATTGCAGTCACCATGTGAAAAATCAGTAGGGTGCATTGTGAAAAATGGGGTGAATCACAAAGTCATCAAGAAAATAAGTTGTCTCTTCTGAGGAACACTGAGGAGTGGAATTCTGAAGCCTTTGAGGAACACCCAAATGGAGGCCATGAAGTTGGATCAGGAATATGGAAGGCCATGCTGAAGAACACGATCACTGCCTAAATATTAGGGCACTGTTCTCATGGAGCTGTGGTGGCTGTCAGTGTTGGCCAAGAAAGGAGGATAGCAGAGAGACAAGGTTTTTGTCTTAAAGAGGCCTTCCTCTTGTCCCAAACCTGGAAGTGTCAGATGACTGATGGGAAGGTCCTCAGGCTGAGATTTGGAGGAGTACTGAAATCATAGTATGACTTCTTTTTCTTTGTAGATCCTAATCAAGCAAGAACTATCATAAACAGGGAGCTTGGATTGAATGTGAGATTGCAGTTTCAGTTTATGTAGGCCTGGTCTTTTATATACCTAAAAATGACAGAAAGTTTTGAGGTTTACTTGCAACAAATAAAGGGTGGTGGAAAGAGACTCCACAAAACACAAAGCAAGAGAGAAATGATGTAGCTTCTTATTTGTTTCATCCATTTTATTTTTTCATCCATTCAGAATAAGCAACAAGTCCATTACACTAATTCATGCTTACTGTGTAAGTTTTTGATCTTTTGTGCACCTAGGTCTTTAACTGTTTTTTGTGTTTGATACAAGAGAAAAATGGAGGCTTGTTTGTGAGACGTGGGATTCATAATTATTACTATGAGCCTATAGTTTTCTGAGAAACTGACTTAAGGTCATGGCCCTGATTTATAAATTTCTAAACTCCGAATCCAAAATAGTGCAATACTGTGTAAAAGAGGGGACATTAAGTTAATCAGAAAATCATTGTATTAAGTCTCTTTTACAAGTTAGAAGAAATTTTCAAAAATACATCGTGCCTAAATTATATAACTGGAAACATTCTCCAACACATTCATAGCATCACATTCTGAACAGTCAATTATAAGCTGCTAATGAATACTAGGGGTCATTCTTTAACTTTTTAAGGAATAGATTTGTATCATTTTATATATTGCATTAATTTGCCAACAAGCCTTCCATAGAGAAGATTATTGTATTATTTTGTTAACTGATGTGTACAGTTGAAAGTTGCACTCACCTAAAATATATGATATATATTACATAGACTAAGACACTTGATCTGCTTGGCTATTAGCTAGCTTTTTGTGGTACCTAGATCACTTTGAATGATAGTAGTTCTTCTTTCATTTTACTTGAACAGCATAATGCCATAGTTTATGAAGACACTTAGATTTCCTAATACCACATTTGAATTATATATAGTGTTCTTAAAATCTTCTTTGAAACTAGTTTGTTCTTATGGTTTCTAAATTCTAATGAACAGAAATAAAATTTGCTAGTTCATGCATACTGAGAAGCTTGCTATATTTGCTTATTATAACTTCTTTCATTAACCTATTTCAAATGCATGGGTTCTTTCTTCTTCACTCCTATAGTTGAGGATGTGTGGTATAAAATTGCACATAATTAGATATTGGTGAGTTAGTTTTTCAAAGTAACTGTTTGGATCAAGATGCAACATGCTTATAAAACAAGGGCAGGATTTTTTTAAGGATCCACTTCCTTCCTCCCATCCGAGATATGATACATTGTTTTTTGAGGTTTGGGATATTATTACACAATATAGTCACACAGCACATAGTGCAGAGTATGTAATTCTCCTTGCTCCATACTTCTGGGTAAAAGTTAGGATTTCAGACAGGTCAGGATAGGTCAACCAAAGGGAAGACAACCAAGACCATGACATGTTTAGTCTGTTGTGATGTGGCTACTTTCAAGTGGGTCTTTGAACAAGGAAAGCTTCTGCTAAGACTCTTGATGTAGGTTTAAGACCTGGACCATGGAGTTTAAACTGTTACCACACTTGTCTAAGAAGTGGGTTCTTAGATGAGGCACACACTGACTGCAGGAACCATTGGTTCACTGAAGGAACATGTCTAGGTTTAAAGGGCTTAAGTGGGAATGAAGGAGGAGATTTACCTTTGTGGTTGGGTCATTTTTTGAGCACTCATCTCTGTGCTGGTGTTTATGGGAAGCAGAACAGATCAAAGATGATTGAGACACAATTCCTGTCATCCTGGTCCTTCTGTCTAGTGTAAGAGAGGCTCACTAACAACCAATTTAAAAAGTATGTGGGTGCACAGTGTTGGAAATGTGCACTGAATATCATGGGACTACAAATTCTTTCTGTTTGTGCCCAAAAGGCATTAAGAATGATGAGAAATATATAAAATAGCACTGACGAGGTAGTCTTGGATCAGGGATATGGAAGGCCATGTTGAAGAACATGATCACTGCCTAAAATTTTCAAGTTCCTTTTCAAACTCATCTAACCACTCTTCTGTGGGTAGACCAGTTGTTCCTCAAATCTGTTGTGACCACAGTTCAATTTTAATGTTTAATTCCTGTACCTTGAAGAACTGCTGCATCACACAAGTCTGGGATGGGCCCATGAACAGAGAGCTAAGAGGAAAGGCATCAGGGACTCTGTGCTTATGATGACACCTCATCCTTCATTCTTTAGAAAATGGGAATAAATTATCACTAGCTATCCAGACAGGTGGGGTACACATGATTAAAGTTTAATATTATGATTTGTTTCCTTAACATTTGAACTAAAATTCATGTTTAGTTATGTAATTTCTTTTCACAGTATGACATTGAACCAACAAATATTAGGCGAGTGCTCTACCACTAAGCTCTCCCCTGGCTCAGTAGATGTCATTTGGAAAGAATGAAACATCTTTTGCCCTTAGGTTGCACATCATTTGAAACTGCTATGGTGTACCCTTTGTACATTTGAGGAAATGACACATGTTTAAGTTCATTATATTTGAAAGAAGAAGAGACTGCATAGAAGTGGTTGCTTTTATATTTAACAAAGATACAAAATTTTTTAGGAATAGTTCAGGTTATTGGACAACTTGGGGTTAGCCATTACCAATAACAATGTTTCTATGTAAAATTGTATTATAAGTTTAAAAAATACTTTTAGTGTAACATCAGTTTGTAAGTTCAGAACTTCCCCTATTTTATTAGACTTTAAAATTTTGTCCACTGGTAATTTAATACATGATGTTAGGAATTTTTATTTATCCAACATTCAAATAATCAAGATACCTAATTAATTGTCCATTTTGAGTAAATATCATTAATTCTTTATGAATTAATGAAGAGGAAGAAAGTGGGTTTTGCTGGGTTTCAGGGCCTGATAATATTCAACAGTGTGCTCTTTCCGTTCCCTTGACACATGATTTCTTCACCAACACTGCTACTTAATTCCTTTTTGAGACTATTTGAGTACACATGGAACATTTGCAAGTTTTTATACTATGCAACGACTACTCCTCACCTCACACTCTAAATGCTGGAGGTTTTTTTAAGACTAAGGTCACACATTGATGAAATTGCTACTAAGGAAACCTCAGGCAGTGTGCTAAAGGCTCACTATATTACTTGGAAAATCATTTCTTAACAACTAAAAAAATGTAATTGATGCTCTTGGTTTCTAGGTCTTTCTGTCACTGGGCTCCAATATCACCTTGCAGCTAGTGACTGTGATGCTCCTCAGTGGAAATGTCTATGGAATGCCAACCATTCTCCAGGAAGCAAAATCTGCTGTACTTCCAGTCCCCGAAGAAGCAGCCAATTCTCAGGTAATTGGCCCTGGTGTGGTACTGCAGCCGACCAGCAGAGGGCAGCTTCACAAGAAGGACCAAGTTCCTAGAGAGTTTCTTAATATCTACTATTCAATCTGAATAATCCTGTGAATATCAAAGTTGACATAATAATAGAAAAATGATATAAAAGTAATTGTCAACTTTCAATACTAGTTAGGAAATATGTTTACTTTTTTAGGGTTTTAGAAAATTTTTTATCTTGTAGAATTTGAATGTAAGTTGTGGAATTTTAAAAATAACAGTCAACCTAAAGTTGAAATGCCCAAGTCTTTTTTTGATATCAACTATTTACTATTATATACTAAGTATATACTAATTACTTAGTATATACTTAGTATATAAGTATATACTAAGTAATTAAAATTAGAATGAATATTAGTGAATATTTCAGATCTTTTCATGTTTGTCTTTGCCATTCAGGCTTTGGTTTACTGTGCAAGTTTGTGCTGACTTAGACAAATGCTAGAAGACTTTCTGTAATATGGTTGCACCCAAGTATCTGAGTTGTCCAAGTTCATCTCAGGAAAAATTATTGCCCAATCATTTCAGCAATTTGAAGAAGAACAAAGGCCTTACTTTCTTTTATTTTGATTCTGTCCATATAAGACAAAGCTAGGTCTGCTGTCTATGGCTATGGCAACATGATGTCTGTTTGAAGATGCTATGAGATATAATTCCTCCTTACTCCTTCAGATGGGAGCTGAAATGACAAGCCTGGCTCCAGATGCTGATGTGGAATCTGTGTGGTTGAATGGGTAGAAATATGGGCAGATACAGTCTCTGGCCATTACAGAATGCTCTTTAGCTACTCTTTCCTGGGTATCTTCTTCATAGCAAGTGCATTTGCTCTGTCCTCTAAAGCGGAATCCACCAGCATTAAAAATTATTGAAAGGAACCGATTTGTTTTCTTTTGTTCAAGAATGAGTAAGGGAATAGAATTTACTAAAAGTCTCTGAAACATTGTTGGTTTTTTGTGCTTACTGGTTATTATTAAATAGATTCGTTTTATCCCAAGCCATTCACTTGGAGTAGCTAAGTATTTCTTACTCCTTACCTGTACACAACACTTTACCACCCACCCTGAAGGGAAACGTTATGTGTGCAATGTATCCTCTGTACTCCTGCCAGAATTTACACGGTGTGTGTATGTGTGCTTGTGATGTGACTAGGATGTGTTCCTATAGTCCTCCAGCCATGTAGCAAGCATGATCTCACTCAAAGCTCTTGGCAGTTGCTAACCAGAGATCTCGGTGACAGAGACTCTAGACTAGTGTCAAGTAAAAGTTGTCACTGTTGTTTTCTCCTCTGTGATTCCAGAAGCTGTCTTTCAGCATCCTCCCACACTCTTCTGCTATTCTTCTTTCTAATTTTAAAAGGGAAGAGTAAGTCTTACAATAAAACCATTGATCAAATGATATCCCAGATTTACAGCTATTGAAACCATAAGAGGTAATCTGAGCTATCTGAATCACAATGTGAAGCTAGAAATCTGGTTTTATTTTAATTCATTGACCAGAACTTATTTCATCTATAAATCACATGTCCTGGGATGTGATGCTTGTGAAAAGGACAGTTATTTTTTTAAAAAAATCTTTGAAGTTTTCTAATCTTCACAAAAAGATATCAAGTTGAATCAAAGAATTGAAAACCTTAAGAGAAGGTCCAGTCCATGGTGCTCATTTTGTAAATGAAGAAATATGTTGTTATATCTTAGAAAAAGGTTGGATTTCAGTTTTAGACAAATCAGGTTGTTATATTAAAACGCCATTTAATTTTTTTTTGCTTTCATTTAATTATGGTTTTATTTATTTTTTTGATATTGTCCAATGAGGGAATTGCATTTTATTCAAAAAGAGAAAGCTATAGATTATAATCTAAATTATGAAGCAGAATAAATTTTCAAATATGAGATTTTATTTCTTAAATCTTTTTTAATTGAATATATTGTAAAAACAAAAAAAGGAGATATATAAACACAAGGAAATTTGACATTTAACACACTCTTCAAATTCCCTGGAAATTTTCAAATGAAATATGAAATAATCTAAACATGTTTTTCTTCAGGTTGGATTTGAATCCACTGCTTTTCAACTCACGGATATCACTGCTGGCACAAGCCAAGTTATGATTTCTAGGACAGGAACATATGGTGCTCTCTCAGTGACCTGGACCACAGGATATGCTCCTGGGTTAGAAATCCCTGAGTCCATCACTGTTGGTAACATGACCCCAATACTGGGTGAGTTTTAGTGTTTCTAAGATCAGCCTATAGGATAGGCAGATGTGTAACTGGCCACTTTCTTGGGTCATCCTTCCTCTGGACACTAAACTATTAGCTTCCTAGTATAGTATTCCCATATGTAAGTGATCAGGATTGTAAGAGCAGATTGGTGAGGAGGAGAGAAACTTTTTTTTGAGACACATTGAAGACTTCATACCTTACCTCAAAACAGTGAGTGCTTTGCCAGTCCATTAAGAGTTTGTTAAAAGTAGTTCTAAGTACCTTATTTGGTCCATATGGTAATTAAAAAGATGTAACTTTGCATTAATTTACATGTCCACTTGAATATTTCTGATAGAACAACTGTGGTTACTTTACATACTGAATTTTAAAAATTATATCATTAACTTTTTGAGCAAGATGTAAGCATTAGATGGTTTGACCTCTGCCGTGTTATACAGAACCCACTCCGAATCCTTGTGATGGCAGTTATAATGGAGATCTCAGTGGACTCAGAATCTTTGTACTTCCCCCTCCACCTGTCATTTATTTACAGTGTCCTCCTGGTCACCAGGCAAATACCATGTACCATCAGTCATAAATGTAGTGAATCCTGTGTAAGAACTGAGATCCACAGTCTCTCTGTGAAGATGGAAAGATTTTCATTTTCTCAAGTTCTCAGCCAAAAAATGGAATAAAAACCTGAAATCCTTTAGATGAGGGTGAGAGCCCAGGACAGAGAAAATGACAATATTGACAGGCCAGCTTGCAACCCAACAGGAATCCCAGTAGTTCAGAGTGAATTTAGATGCTTGGTTAAGAGCCACCATAGCATTAGAACTGCCTTGGTTACTGGGGTTTCCATAGCCACTGGATAGGTAATGTTGATATAATGTATCAAGTACTTCTTCTGCTTGATTTTCCTTTTAGCACATCCCCTAAATTAAAACTATTTCATCATCTTTTAAATCTATTTTCTGTAGTAACACTTATTTGCTACTCGCCTACCCTTTCTGTCAATTTTGGTGATATGCACAGCTCCTTCTATTCTATCTATCTATTTACTTTTGTGCTGGTAACAGCTTAGATAATTTAAAAATATGTATCTGTGAATACATTGCTCTTTAAGTCTGTGTATGTTACTGCGTTTACATATGAAATTAATATTTAGAAGTTTTAGTGAATTTATAATAACTTGCTTATTTTAAAATTACAGAAGTTCCCCAAAATAGATTTATATCTTTAAATAGGCTTGATTAGCTTTTTTGAGTTTTTCTAATAAATTTGTCAACAAAATGGAAAATAAAATATAATGAACACCCACAAACTCACTGACTAGATTTAACAGTCATTCTACCATATTTGTAACATTTATTTTTTTTCTGAAGTAACCTAAAATAACATACATGCATTGTGATATTTTGTCCTAAACTACTTCAAGACACATTTCCAAAGTATCCTGGGGTCAGAATTTGAACCAGTGCCTGACCCTTGACACTAAGTACTGGTCGACTCTTGCCTAACACTATTCTCTTTTCACTACTGGATTTGGCAATTAAGCTGGGGGCAGGGGAAGATAAGTGATGAGTAGACAGGGACTGAAAGTCGGGTTTATGTGGTTAGGGGAGCTTCTGCAAGTTTATTTATATACCTTTGCCTCCCCCAGTTTTTAATATGTTATCTTTTGTGGACTCTACCAAAATTTTGGAAAAGAAAATATTTCACTACATGTGTAAGAGTCAAATTCCAATTTAAGAACCTAAGAGCGAGCCTGCTTCACTTTTCACATTTGTTTCAGGGAGCCTGTCATTTTCCCATGGTGAACAAAGGAAAGGAGTTTTGCTGTGGACCTTCCCCAGCCCTGGTCGGCTGGAGGCCTTCGTCATTCACCTGTCAGGTGTGCGGAGCAGTGCTCCTGGTGGAGCCCAACTCCGGTAAGACCAACCTGATTCTCAACCCAGAAATTCTCTGAGGAATGGTCTGGGGTATCAGTCACTACAGAGGAAAGCACAGGGGTCACTGACCTTGAAGCAGATGCAAACCATTTAACTGTAAAGCAACATAGAGCCTGCATCCCAAAGACGCCGCCTGGGAGGCTGGGTCTCAGCAGCCACCACTCTGTTTGCTTTAAAGAGCTCATCATGACCTTTAACTTGAGAGTGGTCACCCTGAGTCCCATCCGCAGTAGGAACTGTGGCGTCAAATATGCTTGTTTTACAGGAAACTGTCTTTTGCAAAGCTACTGAAAATGCCTGATTTCCCCAAGTGATAATAAATAAGAATAAAACATCATAGTAGTGTAATAATGTTACTTATTCAAACAAGTAACTCTTTGACTTTAATTTATTTCATTTTTTGATGTATGTATTATAACTATTCATATGGAACCAAGCATATATTTTCAATGAAATATATCCCGCCTAAAAGCAGTTTATTTTTCTCATGCCTGAGATGCACTTGGCCAGAACAGCAGAAGGCAGATCTGAGAACCACACTTATTAGTTCTGGCTCTGCCACTGATTTGCTATGTGACTTTGGGAAAGTTACTTGGTCTTTCTGTTCCTCAGTTTGCTTATTTGTAAATTGAGGAAAATATGTGCACTAGACTGTTGTGCGTGCACACACTTTTATGTGGGAGGCATCTGTTGGTGAAGTCAAACATGGCTTTAGATTACACATTATGCATATGTCATTTAAAAAGAAATGGTTGTCCAGAGAACATATTTAAAGGTCATAAATTCAAATGCCTTTAACAACACCAATAATAGCTTTCAGTGTTATAGTGCTTCTCCTAAACCACACTGTTTTATGCTGTGTATACACACACACACACACACACACACACACACACACACACACACACTCTTCGTTCTTCCAAACAGCCACTGTTTGAACTAGATATAACTATTTGTCCCATTTTATAAATGAAGAATGATTTATACATAAGGTAATAAACCTAGCATCTACACAGCTCAGTGTTCTGGCCATAATTTGGACCCTGACTGTCTTGTCACAGACTGAACTCTAACAACTAATTTATGTACTGATAGTGCTTGACAATATAGAGGGATAGGCCTGGGGTGTCTTCTTTAAAGGCACTCAAATTTACATTTAATTATTTACATGTTAAACTCTGTTAGTCAAAGAAAATATGTCCATAGTCAGAATTAAGACTGATGGGCCACCAGTTGCAATTTTTGATATAGTTATTAATTCACAATAAAAATTCATAAGAAAAGAATAAAATTTTTAAACCATGGATGCTTCTTCCAATTTATATAGAGAGTTTTAGCTACATTTACATGAGAGAATAGTCCCATTACTGACAGTTTGAGGAGATAAGAATTGTGTTCCTAAGTACTAGTTAATATTCCTATTTGATAGACAGAAACACTGTCTGCTGTCTAGAGCATCACAGAGATTTTTGGTCTTCTTTTACTCATCATTAGAGAGAGGCTGAGGCTTCAGATCCTCCTGTTAGTGGCCCCAGGATGATGGAGAAACATAGCAGAGACCTAAGAGCTCTTCATTTAGCCAAGACTTGTTAAGTACTTTCTCTGTCACTGTTGCTCATTCATTTCTTGGATACGGAATTTGTAAGGCCATGTCATTTATAAGATGCTTCATGAGCAGCATCATAAATGTATAAAAGAATACTCCCTATAGTGGTAGTCCTATTTTAATCAATTCTCATTGTTTTAAATTTTTCCAGATCAGGTTTCACCATTGCTGAAATTGAACCTATGGGAGTCTTCCAGTTTTCCCCTAGTTCAAGAAGTATCACGGTTTCAGAAGATATACAGATAATCAGATTACATGTGCAAAGACTGTTTGGGTTCCACAGTGATCTTATTAAAGTTTCCTATGAGACAACTCCAGGAAGTGCAAAGCCACTGGAAGACTTTGAGCCTATACAGAAAGGGGAAATGTTTTTTCAAAAATTCCAAGCTGAAGTTGATTTTGAAATAACCATTATTAACGATCAGCTTCATGAGATGGAAGAAACTTTTTATGTTAATCTTACTTCAGTAGAAATTCAGGGACTACAAAAGTTTGATGCTAATTGGAGACCACGCCTGAATCTAGATTTCAGTGTTGCAGTGATCACAATATTGGATAATGATGATGTGGCAGGCATGGATGTTTCTGTCCCTTTGACAGCTGTGGCTGTCGTAGTTGATACCACTCTCATTCCTATAGAAACTGACTCTACCACATATCCTGGCACAAGCGAGTTAACTACCATTCCTCAGACAACTGAGATGGCTGCCATCATTACTGAGACAACTGGTCTGTCTGCCACCCCTGAGAATCTTGTCACCGTTCATGGTTCATCTACCATGCCTGAGAAGCCTGACATGACCACTGTAACTGCCAGTATTTCCATTCACGGAACTTTTAGTCTTGGCCCCCCCATTGTTTATGTTGAAGAGGAGATGAAGAATGGCACATTCAATACTGTGGAAATTCATATCCAAAGAACTGGTGGGTTTGAAGGCAATGTCAGTGTAACAGTTAAAACTTTTGGCAAGAGATGTGCTCAGAAGGAACCAAATGCGTTGCCTTTTCAGGATATTTATGAAACCTCCAACTGGACATGGGCAGTTGAAGAAGAAGACTTTGAAGAACAAAGTCTTATCCTTATGTTTCTGGATGGAGAAAGAGAACGCAAAGTATCTGTTCCAATTTTGGATGATGATGAGCCTGAAGGGCAGGAATTCTTCTTTGTGTTCCTCACAGACCCTCAAGGGGGAGCACAGATTGTGAAGGGAAAGGATGCCACTGGATTTGCAGCTTTTGCCATGGTTGTTATTGCAGGTATCTTTGAAGTGATGGAGGTAAAACATGTACTTTTGTGGCCCGGAAGTTGTAATAAGATCAATCTATTTAAGTTTAGCTTAAAACAGTGAATTACTTGAGTCACTAGAGTTAATATTTTTTAATTGGTTCTGTTTAGTGATACATAATAGTAGAAACCATTTTGATAAAATTGTACATGCATAGAATATGTCTTAATTCTAACTGGGATCCCAGTCTTACGGGCATACATGATGTTGAAATTCACCATGTCGTATTCCTATATGTACATAGGAAAGTTATGTCTGATCCATTCCATTCTTCTTCCCATTCCCATCCCCCTTCCTTTCCCTTGTATTCCCCTTTGTCTAATCCTCTGAACTTCTATTCCTCCCCATCTCCTTATTATGAGTTAGCTTCTACATATCAGAGAGAACATTTGCCCTTTGGTTTTCTGGGGTTGGCTTATTTTACTTAGCATGATAGTCTCTAGATCCATCCATTTACCAGCAAATGTCATACACACATTCTTATTTATGACTAAGCAATATTCCATTGTGTGCACATACCACAATTTCTTTATCCATTCATCTGTTGAAGAGTACCTAGGTTGGTTCCGAAGCTTAGCTATTGTGAATTGTACAGCTATGAACATTGATGTGGTTGTACCAGTGTAGTGTGCTGATTTTAAATCCTTTAGATATATACCAAGGAGTGGAACAACAGGGTCAAATGATAATTCTATTCCTAGTTTTTTGAGGAATCTCCACGCTGCTTTTCAGAATGGTTACACTAAATTGCAATCCCACCAACAATGTATGAGTGAACCTTTTTTCCCACATCCTTGATAACAATTATTGTTACTTGTATTCTTGATACTTGCCATTCTGGTTAGAGTGAGATGAAATCTCAGTGTAATTTCCATTTGCATTTCTCTAATTGCTAGAAATGTTGAACATTTTTTCATATGTTTGTTGACCATTTGTATCTCTTCTTTTGAAACATGTCTGTTTAGTTCTTTTGCCTATTTACCAATTGGATTATTTTGTGGGGTTTTTTTTTTTTTTGGTGTAAAGCTTTTTGAGTTCTTTATATATCCTGGAAATTAACACCCTATCTGAGGTATGGAGGAAAAGATTTAAAATCAGCATGCCACCAGTCACATCCGCATGGTCATATTATTCTGAGTTGTTCACTCTGCCTGTAAATGTACCCTTCATCTTTTTCTCACTTGGCTCTTTTTCTTCATAATATTTCAGTTTTAACTGGATCATTAATTTGCTGATTTCTCTCATCTTTAACTAATTTCATTATCTTTTCACATTTAGATTTTGGAAAGCACTTTTACAATAAAACAGGTTTGGCAGATTAGAAGTCTGGAGCATCTTACTAGAAACTTGACCTCAATTTGTTGTAGATATGGCAAGGAAAGCAAGCATTATTTTCATTAGATAATGTTAGGTGCTTCTGTTGTATAAACAAAAATAAATGAAGGCTCTGCCTGTGAGAAGCTTATAATCTACTTAAAGAGACCAAATCCCCACTGAAGGTGATGAGGAAACCATTGCTTCAAAACAGAAAATGCTAACACAGGTTCTGATGCAAGGCTAAGGAATGATGGCAGTGATCAGTTAGTGAGAATGGGGACTGGCTGAGGCAAGACCCACCAGGGCACCTGGACCAATGTAGCCCATCATGTGCTTGTTCATAAGACATGGACTCCACATTTGCTTACGTTTCACACCTGGGAAATAGAGCAGGGGCTGTTGACTATAAGCTTTCCTCAATCAGGACAGCTAAGAAGTTTCTGTGTCCTTAACTTAACCTAGTCTGTAGAAGTTCTGTCTCCTGGGAACCTCAGGAGTGAGATTTACAAGTGATGGATGTAAGCAGTTTTTGAAGGTGACTACTTTAGGGTCATTGCTTCCGGGATCACTTTGCAAAACCAGGTCACTGGGAAATAGAAAGCTGCTAAAAATGTACACGGGCATTTCTCTAGTCCTAGAAGCTCACTCATATGCTGGCCAGGATGTGAAGTGATTAGTATAGTATGGGGTCTGGTTTTATTCCAAAAGATATATTTATATCTTTTTTAGTTTGAAGGTTCCTGTAAACTTAAATATTGCTCAGAAGAGTCAGAATTCCTTAGTAGTTTTGTTTTGTTCTGGGGTAAATAACTGAACATGTAACATGAACCCTTTTGGTCAGTCCACTTTTAGGAAGGTAGATGGGTTAATTGGAGCTCATTTATCCAAAAGATATTAGTAAATGCTTACCAAATGTGAGCACTCTCCTTGGTGCTGGGAAGATAGTAGTAAGTGAAACAGTTGCTGCTGGATAGGTACATTCTGTGGGGATACACAGACTTTAAAATGTCAAGTGCAATCAAATGTAAAGGAAGGTCTCATCAGAGAGATGAGTATGTGTGTGTTAGGTGGGGAGGAGGATTTGGTGTTTTTCTTGAACTGTTTCTCAAACTGTTTTCTACCTTGATGTTTTAGGGTAGATATTTGGTTTATTTCTAGTGAAGATCTTTAAACACTGTAGCTCCCACTCCTCATTTCTGGATTTTTCACTTATGCTCTCTGAGTTGGCAAGATTCCTAAGGCATTGCAGATCTTGTAAATTCTTAAATGTATTATAGCCTCCACTTTTCTTTTCAGGAAGTGATCTCCACAATGGATTCATAGGATTCAGTGAGGACTCCCAGGATGGGCTTGAACTGGGGGAAGGAGCTGATATGAGGAGACTGCATCTTCTTGTCACAAGGCAGCCAAACAGGTGTGACTGATATGTGTGTGAGTGTATGTTTATACACTAATTGGGATTCACACAATAGTGGAGACAGAATGAAACCTCGATAGTAGGCAGCATGGAATTTGATGTGTCAGTGTGCAGATGCTGTAGTCCTTGATCTGGGATTTAACACATTTGGTTCATAATCATAATATAGGGCTGCCTCAAATGTTTCGTACTTCGTGAAGTACCTCACAGATGTCAGATTATGCAGGTTATCACTCCATCATATTTACTATTCTCTGAGGACTCCATTACACTCTGAGGGACACTTGGAGTACCAAAATTTTGTTTGCATTTAATAATATAGTAACAGCCTTGAATTCTGATGCATAAATATATTTGCTATGCACACACATACACATACACATACACACACACACACACATACATTTTCCTTTTTGCACCTAAATGTTCTGTGAAAATGTTGGTCATCTTTTGCCCTTTATTGTAATAACAACTATTTTTAACAATAGTGTTGTTTCATGGAGAAATTTTTGCTAAAAGATAAGTGAGAAGTGTTTATGTAAGTTGGGTTCTCTTTAATTTTTGCTTTCACTTTTCTGTACACGATAGGCAAAAAAAATATTATTTGCTTTCACATTCTTGATGTAGAATAGTTCCACAAATGCTTATTCATTACTAATAGAGTGTAGTTGAGGAATACTGTATAGACCTTGAGCCTTAACGTTTCTGTCATGGGGAGAACTGGTCATTTTCAGCATTATCAATGGTGATGAACTGGATACCACACTGCTCACATGTTCGCTTTGTTCACAGAGCCTTTGAAGATGTCCAGGTCTCTTGGAGAGTCACACTTAATAAAACAGCCATTGTTCTCCAGAAAGAAGGAGTGAACCTGATGGATGAACTTCTGTCTGTGTCAGGAAACACGACGTGTACAGCAGGTCAAACACAATGCTTCATCAGCCTTGAACTTAAGCCAGGGAAGGTAAGAAATGATGAGGCACAAGGCGGTAAACTTCCAATGTTTCTTTAGAAGTAATCATTTTTAAATCATTTTATGGAAACTCAAGCATATTGTTTTTGTGGAATTTCTTTGTATCTTGCCTAATTGTAATGTCAAAATCATTTTGCTGGATCACAGATTTTAGACTGGGAATTTACTGAGAATTTGAATTTTTCAATTTTTGTAAAATAAGCTTGTCAATATTGCTTTGTCTTTTTTTTTTTTTTTTTTTTTTGTCCTCTGGCCCAGCTACTCATTGTGTAAACAATTCTTGAGACGTTTTCAACCAGATTAGTATTTCTGATTACTCTAACTGTTGAAAATCCATCCCTCCATTTCAACTCACTTGCATTTTTTTCTGATGATTTATTGTTGGCTTTATATTACAATGTATAAGATAATAATTAACTTAGGAAGCATGCTCTTAACTCATGAAATCTGCTTAAAATAAGCAGAATGTTTAAACATTTGTTGGAATTTTGAAAGAGCTTTTAGTAAGACATTGTATCCTTATTATATTGGTTTTCTGCTTCTGAGCAGATCTGATCCCAGCAAAACTAATTTTATATTAGTCGGGGCAAAAGATCACCCTGGTGTGCATCTGACTTAACCAGGAAAGAAATCTGCTAGCAGTTATACATAGAATGGGTTCTTGTAAGGTCTCCAATCACATCTAGGAGTCTCGAGAGGCTCAGGTGTGATCTATGTGTCTTGTTTTCTCAGTAGATTTAAGCAATATTGTTGAATAGAATGTTTCTTTTTTGAGAGAAGATACCTTTGCCTCTGGTCTAATTATGTGTAGGCACCATCTGTACACTGCTCAATTTTAGATAGTTCTTCACTTAGATTATAATATATTCTTTTTGACTGCAAGTGGTTGTAAGTAATGTTATAATCATCATGACAATGAAAAGGAATATTTTACTGGAAAATAAAGGAAAGAGTCTTTATATAATATGCTGAAATCTTCAGTTGAAAGAAATCATTGTGAATTCAAGCTCACTTGGTCATTAGGGAATAATAGCTCTTGAATATACTTACCCATACTTTTCTAGTGTTTTATTTTATGGTATTTGCTAAATTTGGCTTCTCAAAAGTGGAATAAGTACAGTTATTTCTGTATTTCAATATTTGCTGACAGTTGATCAGAAAGAGTGAAGAATGATATGTACCATATGAAAGCTAAACACATTTCTTAACGTAGCAAAATGAAATTAAGGGTATTTATTGTGTGACTAAGATGCAACTTATTCTTGGATAATATGAAGGATTTCTTGTATTATTTCACAACATAATGATTATCATCAAAATGATCATGAAATGATCATCGTAGCACATGCCTGTAATCCCAGGGCTCAGGAGGCTGAGATAGGAGGGTCACAAGTTCAAGGCCAGCCTCAGCAACTTAGCAAGTCCTTAAGAAGCTTTGTAAGACCCTGTCTCAAAATAAAATAAAATAAAATAAAGGCTGGGGATGTGGATCGGTAGTAAAGTACCCCTGGGCTTAATCCCCAGCACACATACACAAAAATCACAAGTAATGAATAAGGTCCTTGCTGATAGATGAAAATGATGCATTGTATCAAATTAGACAATCTCATGAGCAGTTGAAAATCCCATCAGCTTAGCTTTTTTGAGTCATGCCAGGAAGCTAACAGTACTCCTAAGGTTTTTAGATTATGTATAAGAGTGAATAATTCATAATGACAAATGACTGATAATGTGTTTTAAAGTTGAATTCAGACTTTAGAAAATAAATCATTTCAGAATGTTGAGAAAGTAAAAATGTAGAACAGAAGCAAGTTACAACTAGCAGAATATATTTAGACTTATTTGAATTGAATTTTGTGAAATTTTGAAAAAAATATGAAATTATAGAATTTATTATTATCAATATTTGGTCCTATACATTTAAAGCTCTTTAAAAAGAAAAGATATCAAAGTAAAATCTCACAAAGTTAAAACCCTTTTGTTCCCCCATCCTCAGTGTTCTTCAACTCCATACCCTGCCTTGGTCTCTTCCTGCTACCTCCAACTGAGGCAGCTGCTGTCCTGAGTTTTCCTTTATTCTGTTTTCCTTTTTTTGTTTTAATTCTTTGCATGAATATCCATTAACAACATATATTGAAACAGTGAATTATTGGAACTTTATTCTTTCAATATCTATTTATGCACCTTCATATATATATGTAGTATATATATATATATATTACTTCGAAACAATATTTTCACTCAGCATATTTTGAGATCCATCTATGAGTCTTTTCACTATATCGCTATAATATTCTGTTTTATGAATACATTTTGTTTATCCTTTTGCTCATGTACTATGTCAAGCTGTCTCTGAATGTTGGTCTTCTGGTAAGAAGCTTACCTAAAGTAAATGTATTTTTTCCAACTATATGCCCTTTTATTTTGTTTTTAGTTATAAATATTAGCATGTATCAAGTGCATAAAATGATGGGTTTCTTTGTAACATTTTCACACATGCATATAACATGCTCTGATGGTATCCACTTTCCTTATTAAAGTTACTTAACCCCTAAAAGTAAATCTAATTCTCTAGTAACCTACCACAAGAATTTTATTTTTTAATTGTATATTCATTTCTATAATGATCTATGTGTATTACAACATTTCTTGATGCTGGAACTGCCCTAAAACAGAAATAAATTGGTAGTAGTTGTATATATTTTTCTCTTGTCATTGTCAGATACCTCAAGTTGAAGTATATTTTTTCGTGGAACTCTATGAAGTCACTTCTGGAGCAGCAATAAACAACAGTGCCAGATTTGCACAGATTAAAGTCTTACAAAGTGATGAACCTCTAAGTCTTGTGTATTTTTCTGTGGGCTCTCGGCTGGCAGTGGCTGAGAAGAAGGCCACTTTAATCAGTTTGCAGGTGGAAAGAGATTCTGGGACAGGACTGATGATATCTGTTAACTTTAGTACTCAGGTAAGCTTACAGCCTGTAGTCACATGTATTAAGGTTTTCTTCTTTAGCTATATATAACAAGTGTAGTAATAAAACAGACAATAATTGATAGATTATTTTCTGAGGATGCCATTATAATTCACATTTTATTTATTACACTAAGCTTTATTCTTGCAGCAGGTCAATTTTTCTCTCATCAGTGACAGGTTTTAAAAATGTTTTAAAATGATAAACTTTGATTTTTCTTTGTTTTTGACAGAGTTAATTACAGAATTCAAAGCATCTGGTATAAATCTGTTCTATTAAGTCTCATAAGAGTTAAAGTTTTTTCAGAATGTAACTATATGAGATCAGAAGGAAAAAAAGTTCTTGCTATGTCCTATCTCTGAAGTAGTTGAAAATTTCATTCTTTAGAACCTCAAACACTGATTATATTTTGAGTTTCTTCAAATACTTGAGTTTGTGAGACCTCACTGCCACATTTTTACAATCATATCCTATTAGGTGACGTCAGGGTAAAGGCAAGGAGCAGATGGGTATAGGAGGCTCACAAGAGCAATGCTGTTAACACTAAGTCACCAGATCTAGTTAGCCCAAACAATGCCCGATACTTTTGAACGTTGATTTTTTACTTTAACAGCAAAACTCTTAAATAGCAAAGACAAGAATATGTATCTTCTTTACACAAGGCATGCTTGTGGGATTAGAGATGGTCCCTCAGCCCTCTCTTTTTTTCCCCTCTTGACTCCTGTAGCCCCAGAAAACCCACAGTTTGAAAGCTATCATTCTAGACAGTCCTATTATTTATACGGTTTAAATAGCCCATACTTGGTACTCTAGACCTCAACATTACAAAGTTTTATTAGAATTTTTTGTATAATATATGCTTGGTTGTATCACTATTAGGTTTTTCTGTGCTCAAAAACCAGTTTTGTGCATAAAATACAACGTGTGTATGGCCAATGAGCTGTAGACATGCATGGGAGGCCAGGCCTAGCACTGTGAATAGTAAGCTGTCCTGCAGGTTCACCAGGTAGAGTAATTAACTTTGTTACAGACTATAGAGCAACTCACAAAAAACAACATTCTGTTACATGAGACCCTAGAAATAAACTCTATTCTACATACCTTGAGGTGGTATGGTATAATTGCAGATAGAAGTATTTTGATTTATAGTTGGAAGATCTTAGTATTTTTTCTTAAAATATTTAAGATAGGAAGAAAAATGAGAGAGAGAAAAAAAGCACATGCTTCATTCTTGCTCTTTTTCAATGACACATATCACTACATGCTCACTACTTGGGAGAATAGAGGGGGGCTGGAGATGAAAAGCAGCTGATAAAAGAGATTTGAAGTACATTTAAACTATTTTATTCTGGTGATACATATAGATGATAGGAGAATTGAAGTTGCCAAATGAAGAATCTGATGCCAATATCACTAACATATTTCTTTATACTTTTTCTAGATTTGTCATAAGTGACTCTTGGTAAGACACATGTTGTCACTAACATGTAGCTCTTAAAGGACATTTATGGGACAACATATGTCATTAATTTCTAGTTTTCCCTACTATGATGATTAATTTTATATGTTGATTTGGCTGGCCCACAGGATGCTAATATATTTTGTCAAATCTTACTCTTGTGTTTCTACGAGGGCATTTTTCGATGAGATTTACATTTAAATCAGTAGACAGAGTAAAACAGATTGCCCTCCTAATGTTGATGAGCATTATCCAATCATGTAGAGGCCTGGATAGAACAAAAAAGCTCAGTTGAGTAAAGAGGAATTCTTCCTGCCTAATAATCTTTGAATTCAAACACAGTTTTTCTTGCTGTCACAGTCATATTGAAACATTGGCTTTTCCTGAGTTTCAGGCCTACTGAATTCTAAATTGTGACTACACCATTGGTTTTCTTGGTTCTCAGACCTTCACACTTGGGCTATTACTAAATCATAAAATTTCGCTGATTTCCAGATTGTCATATCACTCTGAAGATCTTGGGATTCGTTTGTCACCATAACTGCATGAATTAATTTCTTATAATTCTCTCTCTTTCAACATACGTCTATAGAAACATACCCCCTATTAATTCTGACAAATACAAATACTACCTTGCAATAATAAACTTAGTAAAGAGTATTCATGGCAGTGCTGTTATACCAATGCCATTTCAACAAACACAAATGAAAGTGAAGAATGAAATCTGTAAAGTTTTCTAGGAATGGAGGGCTTCTGTTTCTGGGAAGGTGGAGTCAGTGTAACTTTCCCAATAAGTACAACTAAAGACCATCAACATTATTTATAAACAACATCAGAAGACTCTGAAAGCTGGAGAGGAGAAAGCAGAGGAGCTAGAGAGCTGGGGACCCAAGTGGTAAAACAGTGGTGGGTTCCCAGTGTTTTCTTTTTGCTTTGAATCCCAGACTTTGAGCTAAAGGTAATGACATACAGAAACACTAATGAGAGGAGATTTTTTAAAGCCCTCACAAAATCTGCTATCTCTAGTCAAAGGAACAGAAAAAGAGTAGCCTAGCAAGATAGATAGTACTTCAGCCAAATACCCCAGAAAAAAATCTGTTTCCACACACCAGCAAAGAATGGATGAGGAATCTAGATTTCTACCTTGCCAGAGGCCTCAGGCTCTCTGCTGGCACAGTATTAGAGAGACCAAGTGGAGTGTCAGGACTTTCATCATTATCTAGTAGAATAAAATGGAACCCAGCTCCCTCATGGCGTTCAGGGATGCTCTGGGGAGACAGTAGGAAGGTACTTATGCCCTTCTCAGGCAGTGAAGTATCAGTTGAGGATGAGTTTGGAATCAAACTCCCACCTACACTTAGCAATAATGAGGAATCTCCTCCTGTCAACAGAGAACAAGTGGGAAAATTAGGCTTATACTTTCACATGTCAATAATAGAGTACATCTTCCCTTCCTTTGCCAGAGCAATCTCAAAAGAAGCCAACTAAAACAGAAGGCTTAAATAATATTCAAATCTTGTAAAATAATATCCAAAATGTCTATGTTTTGTTTATCAATCATTTATTCTATTAATAATGCAAAAAGACCTAAAATGGAATGAAAAAAAAAAATAAAAAGGATCAACAGGTGCCTATAGTAAGATGGCAAAAGTAAAAGTATTTGACATTGTAATAGAGCCATCATCAAAAGGCTTCAATGAAGCTAACCCCCATTAAGGGAGGGGCTAGTGGAAGAATAGAAATTATGTAGATTAGAGAAAGGGGAATGAAGGGAAGGGAATAGGAAATGGAAAGACTGTGGAATGAATTTGGCATAGTTTTTCTTTGTACATTTATAGATGTACTAGAGTGAATTTTACCATTATGCATATCCACAAGAATGGGGTTCTAATTAGAATAAAATACAATTTATGCTCATATAACTATATGAAAATGGATTCCACTGTCGTGTGTAACTAAGAAGAACCAATAAAAATCCTTCAATTAGCAATTACAAACATTCTTGAAATGAGAAAAGTAAAAAGTTTCAACAAAGAAATGGGAAGTGTTAGCAAATAAATAGAAGACAAAAAAGAAAATAGAAATTTTAAGAGTGAAACTTGCAATAACTGAAAGTGAATTGATAGGCTCAGTAGCAGAATGAAGGGAGCAAAGTAAAGAATAATGATCTTTGAAGATAGAATAATAGAAATTATCCAATCTAAACAGCAAAAGGAAAATAGATTGAAAAAGATAAAAAGAGCCTCCCAATGTAATAGTAACAGAAGATCTAACATTGTGTCATTAGAATCCTGAAAGAAAGAGAAATCAGGAATGAAAAATACTTGAAAGAATAATGACTGCAAAATTTCCTAAAGATTGTAATCTGTAAATCCAAGAAGAAACTGAGAAAACTCCAAGCAAGATATGATACATATGAAAATTAGATACAAAAAGAAATATGGAGAGAAAGAGAAAATATGAATATCTATGGGACAAAACCAACTTGAACAATAGCAGATTTCTTACTAACCATGGGATCAGGTAAAAGTGGTACAACATTTTTCAAGTGCTGAGGTAAAAGAACCATCAACCCTGAATTCGATTTTGAGGAGAAACATCCTTCACAAATGAAGGAGAAATTAAGGCATTATAAAAGGAAAAAAAATAATTTATTGCCCACAGACCTATTCTGAAAGAATAGCTAAGCTAAAGTTTTCTAACTAGAAAGGGAATTATAAAAAGAAAAAATGTGGGACACCAGGAAGGAAGACATGATAAGCAAAAACAGAGAAAACAAACAAACAAACAAACATGAAGAGACATTAGAGAAGATGTATATATGACTAAAAAGCACATTAAAAGATATTCAACATCATTAGCTCTCATCAAAATGCCTATTTAGAAACCACAATGATGTATCATTGTACACACTTAGAACAGCAAAAATTACATCAGTGACCATACCAAAAAATGCTGGAAGGATTCAAAGATACTAGTTCAGATCACTTACTCACTGCACATGGGAATATTAAATTGTACAGCCACTCTGGAACAGAATTTGTTGGTTTCTTAAAGAACTAAACATGAGCTACCAGATGACCCAGCGATTGCACTCCTGGGACATTTATTCCAGGGAAATGAAAACTTATGTTCACATGAAATCCTGCACATCAATGTTTATAGCAGCTTATTCATAATAGCACAAAACTAAAACAAGGCAGATTTTTTATAAAAGAAAATATCCACTCTGTTTTAATTTTTTAAAAATTTTTTATGTTTATTTATTTATTTATTTATATTTTTTAGTTGTAGACACAATACCTTTATGTGGTGCTGAGGATTGAACCCAGTGCCTCACACATGCAATGCTCTACCAACTGAGCTACTGGGGCCTCAACAATATTTTTTTTAATGGGTGAATGGTTAAACTGTAGTGTGTCCATGCCCTGAACCACAACTCAGTAATAGTTAAAAATAATCTATTGATACATATGACAACCAGAGTCACCTCTGCATGATCATGCTAAGTGAAAAAAATCCCCAAATTATATACTGTATAATATCATTTATATAATATTCCTAAAATTAAAAAAAAATCATAGAATTGGAGTTTAGTGGTTTCCAGAGATGAAAGAGGGGGTGGCAGAGAGTGCAGACAAAAGTCAACTGAAGGATTCTTTAAAAAAAAAAAGTTTTGGCCAGGTGCTGTGGCATGTACGTGTGGTCTTAGTAGCTCTGGAGGCTGAGGCAGGAGGATCACAAGTTCAAAGCCAGCTTCAGCAATTTAGCAAGGCCCTATTTCAAAATAAAGAATAAAAAGGGCTGGGAACATGGCTCAGTGGTTAAGTGCCTATGGGTTTAATCCTTGGTATCAAAAAGAAAAAGAAAAAATGTCTTGATAATCTTGTCTATATTGATGCCAGTACCCTGGTCATGATTTATATTATAGTTATGCAAGATGCCACCAATAAGGGATACTAAATAAAGGGTGGAGGAAATCTCTTTTTATTATTCTT